TTGGAGATTAACGTCAATCTGACGTTGGATTCTGACATCAACCTGATTTTCATTTTCAACGCTGCGTTTGGTCTTCTAAATGGGAATTTTGTCATTGTTTTGGAGCACACTAGCTTATAGATAACAGTGTGGCTAACATATTCATACTAAAAGACAAAAAACTTTAAATAGGGCACTATTTAAGGGGAAAAGCCATTTGGGTGTCCGAAACCATTGTGGACGTTATTGAGTGCAATCTCACATTCAATCCCACTACTGGAACTGTGTTCTAGAAATAAATTTAATATTGATGTAGGCAGGCATAGATTCAGAGGCATAAGGTACTGTGAGTATTACACAAAAATGCAATAATAAAACAATGCATTGACATTTACTTTTTACTTTTGATACTTAAGTACTTTTAAAAAGGAGTACTTCTGTACTTTTCCTTTGCAACTTTTACTTGTAACGGAGTAATATTTGACCAGTTAGTATCTGAACTTTCACTCAAGTAAGGAATTTGTGTACTGATATTGTGTACTGATATTCTAGAATGTAAAAACTTATGTCGACATAGAACATTAACTGAAATGATGCTGTAATTCTTGCTTTTATGTTCTAGAATTGAATGTTCATATATTTGGAGAGTTCAAATGTTCTAGGGAATGTATTGATTCTAACATGATTATTTTAAAGTTCTGGTATCCTTGGAGTATTATTGTGCTGAAATTCATATATATGAATATAAAAGATGATGAACAGTCATCTGTTTCCTTGAACATGAAATGTTGAGTTAATATTGAGTTTTAATATATTTGATAATTCTACTATAATTGATCATTTTATTTAATATTTTCACTTGTATATTATCTTAATAATTCTGAAAAAAGAAAAGACTAAATACTAAAGTCATTTGCATGACAATCTCTAACTGAGATACACTATAGCGCTATTTACGTTTGTATTATCTGTTTCAGTTACGTCGATTTCTGATAGAGCATTGCCATGGACGATGACAAACATTAAGAAATATCAGATGGCGATATTGACCGATCAGAATCAAGTTTCCCCTAGTTTGGTGTTAAATGTGCTAGAATGATGGGGATGCTGTGATGCTGAGGTTCAAGCATACATAAAGAAAGGTCATGTGCCTCTATTTGGAAGAAAATGTAAAGCCACAGTGACCCTGACAACATGACTTCTTATATTTATACTCTCACATCTTCAGAGAACAGATCAGGATACAAGAGGAGAAAAAACATCCATGTGAATTTTTAATGGTCTGTTGCAAAGGCGGTAAAATCCAAGCAGCCATTAAACTACCAAACTCCTGCACAGGAGAAAGAGACTCTAGGTTTTTTTCCCCATCAAGTCATAAAAGTTCAGGGAACAAGGGAATCAATCAGCGGTATCAGTTAGCCGCCTTCCAAAGATCTTGGACAATCAACTAAATATCTTAATGACTTTGGATTTGCACATTACAGTTTTATCATAACCGCCTAAGCTACTCAGACAAAGATTTACACCCATTATCTAAATAATACCCCCTAATTAGTGTGTTCATTATATCCTCCCACACAAAGCCAGAGACACAGACACCTCTGGATTACCTACTTAATCTGATGATGCAATGTCATTTCCCCACTCACCCGAACCAGCGCCAAATGTTTGTCACAATTAGATGGAAAATACATAATCCTCACAAATGCTAGAAGAATATCAGACATGGAGCTGAAATCTGAATGCTCAGACCATAAGCAGGGATAGAAGCACGCAGGAGCTCAATATATAACCCCATTAAAATCCCACACCCTTGTGAAAAATATATGTAATTCTGCATTTTTGTTGTAATAATGGACATGCCTGCTGGGCTTCAAAATTATACATATTTAAACAATAAAAATGAGGGAGATATTGGGTCTGGCGGTGAGAGAGAAAGAGGAAGAGAAGTATTTTTATTAATATTATTAATAATATATTGAATTTCATTACATATGTATTGATACTGTATACGGATGGTTTAGTTGTGCTATTTGGTCAAATAAAGTTTTTACACAAAACTCATTTATTTATATTTCAAATGTTTTCGATTTTAAAATATTTCTTCTGTAAAATTTGATGTTTGCCATTATGCTTGCCAAGAGCTTTAATCAGTATTTTACTATTTTTTGAACTCTTAAGATTCACTTTCTCACCATAATATTTTAGAAACAGGTGGTACTGCAGGGTTTGATCTAATGACACATGTGATGAGACAGTGTTTCTGCTGCATGCATGTGTGTTTGGGGTGCTGTTGACCCCAGTTTTGCTGTGCACAGTGGGGGTCTTAATACAGAGAGCTGAACTGCCCCTCTTTTATAAGGAGCATAATAGCCATTCGCTCACAGCTGACCAACGCTATCAAAGGGAGAGGAGGCATGTGGGATTACAGATTTAACGAGCCCTTTGTGCAGACTAATTACATGTGAATGAGGGTCTGTAGGAGCTCATCCACCCCTTGTATCTACCACAGGTGAACCCCAAACAACCCCCCCCCCCCCCCCCCCCCCACACACACACACACACACACATTCAAACTCATGTCACAGAAAACACAACACAGCGTAATTGAGATATATGATGAAATAAATTGTAATTGATTTGTTTTTCAGTGCACTTTATTATAAATGTGAGCAATAACAAAATAAGAAATTTGTTCCTGTATTACCATAATGCACTTTCAATCACAAAACTTTATAACAACACTTTCTAGAAATGTTTTAGAAATGCATGTGTATGTATACATTTTTGTATATTTGGAAAATTGTATTATTTATTTATACTTTTTTCTTTTTTTTACTATTCTACTTAAATTGTGTTATTTCTTTCTTTTCTTTTTATTCATGTCATATTCTTGATAGTCTATTTTTATTATTGTTGTTGCACAAGGGAGAATAATTTGTATGTATGCAATATCTATGTGGAAAATATAAGGACCTTAAACCTTAAACATATAAACACTTTATTATGTAATTATATTAATTATATTATGCTCAATAGTATATTTAAAATATGTGTATATATATATATATATATATATATATATTCATAAGCTATTCATAATGTAGCAAACTGTAAATAATTATATAATGTCTGTTAAGGACATTACCAGAGTGTTCTGTTCGTGCTATGAAAATGAAAAAGTATAAAAAGAAAAATCCCCATGATGATCATGTTTTGAATTGGAACATTTAGTTACTCAACAGTCCTAATTAAGCCATGAGAAATTAAATAACTCCAGCACAGGGTCGATATAATTACTACTGCTAATTTATTGCTCAGATTATTCACCATTAATTCTTGTTCTCTCAAACACCGAGTGGAGAACCTATAGCACAGAGATAACTGTTTAATACTAGTAAACGCTGGGCCTTTTCGTCCCTTTAACGGTTCTAGCATCGTTTATGTGTTATTAGGATGTGTAATTGAACAGCCCATAGTTTGCATATTAATTTATTAAGCTAATGTATTTTCTGCTTGGCCGTGCACGACTGTGTTAAAGCTTCTGAATCTTACCATTACAACTCAATTAACACAACCGCTTTTTGCATTTCACCCAAACTCCTGAGCATTTGGCAATCTCTACACTCACAAAAAAGTACCAAGGGACGATCATGTTTTTTTGTGTGGAATATTTTACACTGCAGTGTCTTATGGTGCATTACAAGAGGGTGCAAAAACGGTGTCCAGAGAAGTGTGGTTGGGTGCAAAAGGCTGTTTTGTTTACAAAAGGCTGTGGCTGGGGTGGAGGTAGAGTCTGCCATTCACCTCTCACTGGCCCTGCGGCCCTGCGATGCCCTGCATGCGCTTTTCAGGCTTTGAAATGGGCTTTATGTGCGCGAGGAGAGAGAGAGAAAAGGCTCGAGCAGCTGTGACGTGGGCGGCGTTGTTTCATTCACCTCTCGCCATGGCAACGGACAGGGGCCCGAAAAATATGTCCCCTCCTTGAGCCATGTGAGAGACTCTGAAATCCCATCAGAACATAGTGCAGTTATTTCAACCATGAAAATAAAATACAAACAACTCAAATATAAAACAAATGTAATTATTATTATATAATTTGTCTATACGTTCCTGAATAATTATTAATTCTCAGACGCCTAATCTCCATATGTAGGCTACTGTAAGCATTTAATTCTGTAACTTCATTGAACTCTATTATTACGATGATTTGGTTGTGCTCACAAAACTATACGAACTTTACCTTAATACCTTCAGTTAATTATTGCCTTAATTTTTTAAGTTTAAGTTTTTTTTAAGTTAAAGCTCACTGCACTTGTCAACCATTTTGAATTCATTACTGATGAAGAAAATTAGCTAAATTAAAACTCACAAACACAAATTACATTAATTAGATAGAAGTTAAAAGGATGGGATGATGGCGATATTTTAAAGTGCAGGGCATGTAACATTTATGAATTCTGTGCATTATTGTGTCTAAGTCTTTTTTCTTTTTCGATATGAAATATCTTACGCACTCGCATGTATGTTTATTCATTTTTGAAAAGCATTTTTTTTATCCACTTATTTTAACTAAATATAAATATATAAAACACGCACCGTTGTATTGTCTTTTTTCTTTGTTTGACAGGCTATATACACTCAATACATATCGACAGTAATAAAATATTAAATTGTTTTCATATGCTAGTTTTCACGGTTCATTTAAAAAAAAGAAAAACATTTTAGTCCTTTTTTTTACAAAACACTCACACAACAGCCAATAATAACGAATGCTAACAGAATTAATTATTTTGTTCTATTGGCATGACTATCCTATAAATGTCAGCACAATAATTACCTTACAGCATCATCATAATTTTGAACTGAAACATTTAAACTTAATGAAAAACTTAATGAAAGCCAGGCTGGATACCTTTGGAGCCCATTGCGCCCCTGTCACTGCTGATCCCTCTGTGCTTGTTTTCAGGAGAGCGCAATGTGTCGAATCTACTGCGACCAATGAACGCGCCGCTGCCACATCTGTCAAGCCGTCCTGACCAATAGACAGCAGCGCGAGGCGGATCTCAGGTGCGCGCCTCTGCGTCTTCGCGGCTCTGGCGCGCTGGGGAGCCGCCTGTGGCACAGAGTAGCTGTAGAAACTATGGCGACCGCGGCGTCCAACCACTACAGCATCCTGTCCAGCTCGGAGCCCGGCAGCATGCAGCAGACGCCGCCGCCGGCCTACAGGGACGCGCACAGCCTTCTGCAGAGCGAGTACACCACTCTGCAGAGCAGCGGGAGCACGCTCGGCCACGCGCACCAGTGGCTGACGGCGGCGCTGTCTCACGGGGGAGAGGGGTCGCCGTGGCCCGCCAGCCCGCTGGGTGAGCAGGACATTAAGCCGGTGGAGGAGCTGCAGCATTCGCCGAGACAAGCGCATCTGGTGCAGCAGAGCCAGCATCACGAGGCGGGCGCTTGGCGCGCGACCACCACCGCGCATATGCCGAGCATGAGCACCTCCAACGGGCAAAGCCTGATCTACTCTCAGCCCGGCTACGGCGAGCCGGGGATGCACCACGAGGACCACCACAGCCCGCATCTGAGCGAGCACGGCCACCCGCAGAGCCTGCACTCGGACGAGGACACGCCGACCTCGGACGACCTGGAGCAGTTCGCCAAGCAGTTCAAGCAGCGCCGGATCAAGCTGGGCTTCACGCAGGCGGACGTGGGGCTCGCGCTGGGCACCCTCTACGGCAACGTCTTCTCCCAGACCACCATATGCAGGTTCGAGGCGCTCCAACTGAGCTTCAAGAACATGTGCAAACTCAAGCCCCTGCTCAACAAATGGCTGGAGGAGGCGGACTCCACCTCGGGAAGCCCGACCAGCCTGGATAAGATCGCCGCGCAGGGGAGGAAGAGGAAAAAGCGGACCTCCATCGAGGTGAGTGTCAAAGGGGCCCTGGAGAGCCATTTCCTCAAGTGCCCGAAACCCGGGGCGGTGGAGATCACCTCGCTGGCGGACAGCCTGCAGCTAGAGAAGGAAGTGGTGCGGGTCTGGTTCTGCAACCGGCGGCAGAAGGAGAAGCGAATGACGCCCCAAAACGGACCGATGGCCGGGAACGAGGATGTGTACGGGGACGCCTCGCCTCACCACGGGGCGCAGACACCTGTTCCGTGAGAAAGGGGCGGCTTGAACATAATCGACTGTCTCTTTGTCCCGGCCACAAGCCCGTTCGGGGCGGACCGACGGTGATGAAGCGTCTCTGTGTGTGGCACCTCCGAGGGCGCGGAGCGCGCGTGGTTGCGCGAACAATCTACGGGCACGGGCGCGAGAAAACACGCTCTGGCAAAAACCGAGGCGTTACGCGCCGCGACGAACCTAAAGAGGGAACGTAAACATACTTTTATTTAAGAGATTTCTTTTCAAGTCCGGGGATCTGTGAAAGCATCATATCACTTCCAACCGAAAGCTGTGAAAAAGGCGTCAGGGGCACGCCATCTTGACCACAAAAGGTTTATTCCTGATTGAAATGAATCCGGTTCAATGTCTGCTATTCATTCTCATACAAATATTAATGGCAAATGCTTTATTATTATTATTATTATTATATCTATTATAATATCTCCCGTCATGATCACAAAATGTTTAATAGCCTACTGATTGAAATGTGTCTGCATTTCATTTAACTTCTGATATAAATGGCAATAATAATAATAATAATAGGCCTATCTAAATAGCTCTAAATTATTTACCATAAATAAAAGGATCCAAATATAGCCTACTAATACACAAAATTTAAAACAACAATAATGATAATAATATTTTTTATTATTATTATTTACAGTATGTACATATTATGTACATATTAACATATGTAAAAGTATCACTGTAAATGTGATCAATTCTCAAAAAATCTAATTTCGGTCACAACAAAGGCTGCCAAGTGCTGCTGTATGTTGTTCACTGGCAGAGCAGGCTGATTTCATGCAGATCACGGATTCACACTGCTGCTGCAAAACACAGGCCTGAGGAAACATTCAAACCTTTCCTCACAATCACACAGTGCTGTGGATCACTTCGAATTGTCTGTTTACAAATCAAATCAAATGATACAAGCTCTTTGTAATTAACCACTCAATTGGGTTTTTCTTAACATTTTGATTGAATTTCTATAAGCATCCACCAAAAGCGTCCATGATTTGAGACATTGGTTTGATATTTTCTTCCCTTATTTTAAAACTCTTTTTTTTCTGATTTAGGAAATCTAAAAGAAAGCCAAATAGAATCGTATTATTGTGATATTTCATATTACAAATAAAAACAAACCAGCTTTAATTTAATTTAATTAATTTGTCTGGAAACGCTTATGGCGTATAAATGTCAATAGGCTATTTAAAAACAACAACAAGGACAATATAATAAGAGTGATGATGATAATAATATTAATAATAATAATAATGCGAGGCCAGTGTTTCTTGCCCAATTTTTACTATAGTAACATTGTGTGGTTTTGTGCGTCAGCTAAATGTATAAGCCTCAACATGTTTGTATCTGTTTGATATTTTGTGTTTCTTGTTTATCCCAAATTTATCTCTCTTTTTTTACGAGAAATACTACACCAGCTGTGTTACAATTATTTGATGGCCTGCATCGAAAAAAAAGGACATTGTGCGTGGATTTTTAATTTTCTATGGCTCTGTGAATACTTGTATATTTGTGCACTTAACCTGGCACTGCCAAAGCACAAGCTGTCAGTGCGCCCTATTGAGGCCAGTAACGTCTTTGGTTTTGACAGAAAAATTGCACAGTTTTTAAAAGGCTTTTGTCATTAAATGAATACATTTTTATATAAAGAAGTGCCTCTCGTGAATCTATGCCCCGTGAATGAAGATCCTCAAGATAAACGGATTCGCAATTTCACACATTATGTGAGCATCAAGGCTGTTGAATATAACGTCGCCTCGGGATGAAATGATGCTGTAGATCCATTGCAGCCCGTTGCAATTCATTCGCTTCGATTTCTACGTGACCATGGAGCCAAATGTTTGCCATCCACTCGTAATGAAGACGGATTAGACGGGTTAAAACGAGAGAACGGAAACGTGTGTGAATATTTTATGATGCTGTTCTGGATCTAAATAGGACTCCTTTTTAATATTCCAAATCACCCAAAAATGGCTTTAAAATGTAAACAAAATATCATAGGCTACTGCTGACATTAGTGATCTGATATAGCTTTTAAACGATAACAAATGTAGGCTATTGTTTTAGTATCTCAGACAGTCTTTCCAAATATAATCGGCCATTCTATAAAATGCAATTTACTGCTTCATCAATGAACAATTTTAGGAAAACGACCAAAAACAATCACAAGGCCTTGGAAATTTCGACTGCCTTGAAAACCCCGCATTTGTGTGTGTGTGTGTGTGTGTGTGTGTGTGTGTACCTATACTTAACAATAGTCTGGGCACAAATATGTACACTAAATGAGCTAAATCGGACACAAAAAAAAACTCCCAATACCTAATTTTGGGGACGTCCTCATTCATATAAACAGCATAAAATCAATTAAATAGTTTTTGTTATTGCAAAAATGCAGAAAATTGTAGGGTTAGGGTTAGTGTGTTGGTTATGGTTATATATAATATATATAACTAGCTGCATTTAAAAACAATAAACCTGCAATGTGCCCAAAATGCCCATTTAGATAAGTAAGCGTGTGTTTGTGTGTTCGTGTGTCCTCTCTATTGCGAGTATGTGCTGTGAGCGCCATCTACTGACAAAATGTGTTGGAGAAACTCTTAGTGAAATAGAGACATTACAGTTGATCTGTTTTCTTGGTCTGTTTAGTCAAAGATAAAGGTATAAAGTCGTCGAATATGAACTTGGCGGTGTAAATAGTCACTCATCTTGCCTGTGTGTTGTCAGTGCAGATTGTAGGTCTATTAAGATTTGTTTGGTTATAACGTTCTAAAACCCAGCAAGTCTTAAAGGGATAGTTCATCCAAAAATAAAAATTCTATCATCATTTACTCAACCTCAAGTTGTTCTAAACCTGCATGAGTTTTTGTCTTCTGTTGGACACAGAATGTTTGTAACCAAACAGTTTCTGGTCCCCATTGACTTAGTATTTTTCATGGAAGTCAATGGGGACCAACAACTGTTTGGTTACCAACATTCTTCAAAATGTCTGCTTTTCTGTTCAACAGAACAAAGAAACACATACAGGTTTAGAACAACTTGAGGGTCAAAAAATTAGAAATTTTCTTTTTTGTGTGAACTATCCCTTTAAGTAAATGTATTGGTTGCGGATACATTTGAAAGTGACCATAGGTTTTTCATGACAATGTTGTGTTTGAGAAAAAGTTCTTAGTGTTGGAAAGTTCTTGGTGGCACTTAAAAACCTTTGGATCAATCACTCTGGATTGCTTAAGGCTGAAGATCAACATTAAAACTTAATTTATTTTAAAACTTTTGTGTTATTCTAAACTCTTAAGTTGGATTCTATTTCTGCCTTTGAACAAACCAAAGCAAAAATGAAAGTCACTTGATGGGTCTAACAGCTATAGAGATCAGCAAATCAATCTAAAATATCAATAGTTGAATAAACTGAACTAAATAAATAATCAAATAAAACCACTAAACCTAGAACAAGCATAATGAAGTGTATAATTTATAATTTAGCTTTAATTTCACTAATAAGCATCCTCCCATTTGTGCCACACTATATTAATTAATGTGATTTAAATAGTGTTTTGTGCTTAAGGAAAGACATTAGAGTTTTAAAACCTTGTAAATAATATCAGTAAAGAAGATTTAAAGAATGGACTGTAATCAGAAACCAAACATACAACCAGGATCGTTTCCTTTAACACAGCTATATTTCATGAAATATTTTGAGTATCTTTAACATATTCGCCAGACAATTTTGGTTCCTTATGTTACAGTGATCATTCATGTACACAACCCCTCCCTCCCCAATATTATGTCTAGCCCATAATAAAACCATAAATCCACCAGGGTCATGATAAACACAACACAGACTCAGTATGGCTCTAAAATCAGCACACACAACTGTAAGAAAACATATGAGAGATTTGAATTTTTACCTTTGCCTTTCTAACATTATTCCATCTGTGTGTTGCCATATTTCCATCACATTTAGCATATGAGTGGGGTGTTGGGTAGTCTTAAAATAACAAGATTGTCATGTATGGATGATAAAACTGGCTAGAAAATAAAGCTCAACAAGGAAGCACTTGCATTTGAAATTGAATTTGAAATTCATTCAATATAATCAAACATAAAACATATAGCTCTCAGAGCAAATCTTTGCAACTAAAACAACTATATGAAATTATAAAAATATGAAACTTATTAAAAGTCAAGAATAAGTTCAAAATATAAACTCAATCATAAGTGATAAATAAAAAAGTGGTTCAGGAAAAAATATTTAAAAATATAATAATTGTTTGTTTGTAGAAACAGGCACAGTCAAGAATCAATAAAAAAATACAAATAAGCAAACAAACAAATACCATAAGAAAGAATATGATTGTTTTAATCAGACTGCCTGCCAATTTTATGCACTTAAAAAAAAACTAGCATTGTACCTTTTCAAACAGTAGCATTTTTCTAATAAAGCACCAGTTTATGAACCTGTCCTGATGTTTGTATAAAAATGGTTTTTCATACACATTTCCGAATAATTTTGGCGAATTTGTTTTGTTTGAATAAACATCAGATAAGTATAGCCTACATGTGCATTTAAAGGGCGTAAACATGGCGAGACACTTTCTTTCTTACAAGAGCTCGATATAGACAGCGTAATGCAGGATTACGTTCAAGATATTAAAAGGGCATTTGTGGTAACAGGAAAGTTGTGTGTATGGCACAGCAAGATACAGATTATATCTCTCTACGGAACAGAAAAAAAACATAAGTCTCCCGTCTTGCATGTGTCATTTGGTGCACCAGCCCCTGGGAGATCATTCCTGCGAGTGTATTCATGTGTGACGATGACTCAGTTGTGCAGCAGATGGACACACACACACACACACACACACACACACACACACACACACACACACACACACACACACACACACACACAGGCATCAGCTGTCTGTCTCCATCTGTATTGTGTTATGTTCCTCCCTTCTGTAATCGCTGCATTACCGGGGTATTCTGCTCTGTTCTTCTCCAGTGTTTTCTGTCATGTCAATGTAAGCTATAACTCAGTCCACAGGAGGCGCTATTGCACAATCACAGATACCCATCCGAAGTGTTTGCTGTTCGACAAACACAAATTATGTTTTTGCCTACATTTAGCACAGCTGCACATACATACATGACGGTTCCATCTTGATACAAATTTCAACACGGTTATGCTGCGCAACAAACTTCCGTATTCTGTAAAACAGGTTGCATCGCTTCCGGTTTAGGTCTTTTGTAGGCCTGTATGCCTTCGAATGAGCGTCCACTCCATATGCAGATTATTACCTACAAGGTTTTTTTTTTGTTTTTTTTTCTTACTAACATTCGGATATTAAAAAATCGAATAAAGTCAATAAAAATAAAATCCTCATAACATACATTGATATCATATCCGCCAGTTCGTGCTGTTAACACTTTCTCCGACAAGATGCGATGAGACCTGTTTTCCTGTTTGTTCATATGATAAACTGAAAAAATAAGATTCAAAATCTGCATTAAATGGACTTTTTTTTTGTAAATGGAAACAGACTGCGAACCCCAATTTTATAAATTTGATCAATTTTATATTTATATTTACCATAGGCTTCCTATGGGCTATGAATAATTCACCCAAAAAAACAAATAATCTGTAGCTACCAATTTCAGCCAATGGCATTTGACGTCACTGATGTTTAACATCGTGTCATTTGCACCTTAAAGTGGAAATAATAGAGAATTTGCGATCGTCTGTTTTCCCTATTGTGAAGTAGGCTATATCTGAAGAATATATAGAAAGAAAGAAAAAGTAGGGCGGGACCTGCATTTGTCCATAGGGAATTGATTGAATGGTTGTGGTTTGCTATTGGTCGATCTCATTTGAGTGACAGGTTGTCCCACCCTAGGGAGAATTTAAAATATATATATATTTAAAAAAGAGGGAGGGAAAGTGATTTTGATTAAAGATTACAAGGGCACATGAATTGAAAAAAAGTAATGATGTGAATTATTCACCAATATACTGAAATATTCCAGAAATAAAATAAAAGAGAATTGTCAATTTTGATTTCATGGTGACTTTAAATATGCACAAATGATGAGAGCAGCAGCGGTGGGGAAGATTTAATCTGACCCTCACATAAAGCTACACTATACCTGTGTTGTTGTTGTTTTTTTTGTTGTTTTTTTTACTGACCCTGGTCACTATATGCTTCAATTATAAACATGTTTCAAATGTCTATGTTAAACAGTAAATTTCATAATTTTCCTTTTTTGGGGTTAATTATTCACTAATACTTTGCAAGATTGCTGCAACGGTTTGGGAACATACAAAACATCAGCTGATTTCTGGTCCAACATCACAATAATCATCCATAAGTTTACTCCCTCTGCATTTTCTGATTTTTCCTAACAAGCTTTGAATATTTGACTGAATAAAACTGGAAATTAATTTTAGATGGACAATGAAATATTGTTTCACGTAATAATTATCTACACATTTCAATCATCACCTAAAATCCTTATTTCTCTCTGACTAATAATAAATCCCAGGATGTAAGAAATGCTGATTAGCTACAAACACACATTGCAAATGGGAAGTGGTCACATGTGATGATGTCATTCTGATGATTCCGAGCACTGTGATGATGTCACACGGCGGGAGGAGTGATTCAGCTGAAGCATCATTCACTCCTTTAAATTTTCACTCTATCCACTTTTATTATTTTGTTTGATGTTTTTTCTTCCTGTTGATCTGGATTCTCTCTGGCCTGGCCTGCCCTTTCCTCGTTTAATAAAATCCTCTTTCGTCAAATAAAAATTGTCCGAATGCTTTTCCCATCTGCTTTATTGCAATCCCTCGCTCAGAGTTGCCACGTCACCATGATATAACATCTTCATTTGATCAGCCCTTCCCCTGATAAAGGGCTAGCGGGAGAACAAAGGGGGCGGGGCCCGTGCAGATACATCACAGAGGGGGTGTGGTTATCACTTTAACTGCTCCGTTTCCGAGCATTCTGTGTCCATGTCAGAATCGAACAGAGAGTGTCCGGTGATGTCGCTGTCCGGCGACGGTGTGTTGTGGTGTGACAGAGTGCTGTCCTGCTCCTGGAAGCTGTCGCCCCGCGAGTAGAGACCCAAATCCGGAAGCTGGGAAGGAGAATCCGGCTCCTCGCTCAGTCCGTCGTAGTAAAGGTCATCAACATCCACAAACCACTCCGGCCAGAATTTCCGCCGGATTCGCTCACAGTACATGGCCAGATTGATGAACTCACCTGTGCCGAGGGAGCAGTTCATACGCTCAAAACACATGAATAATGTTTATATGATGGTATTCCCATTTAAAAAAAAGCATGACCTATTGACCTCACCTTTGATTAACTGTTCCGGACGCGTTCCAGGGAGAGTCCACATGGCCTGAGCAAGATGACCAAATACAGCAGCATCTACTGTGGAAAGCTTCGGGCCCATTAGATACTTTTTATTGCCTGTGCAAGAAATTATTATTAAACTGGATTATATAAGGCAATGGAAAAAAACAGATTTTTATGTTTTCAGCGACGTTTACATGACAACACTTTTTATGTGTTTTGGCCATTCATTTAAACGAAAACAATGTTTTGTGGGCTTGAAAACACAAACTTTGTGAAACAGACTTTCAAAGTCCGTTATCGTCTCCGTGTAAACTACAAAAACTGTAAATTATGCATAAATACAAGTAACTGACCCTAAACCAAACCCTAACCGCAACTCTATAGTAAGTACATGTAGTTGATTAATATTACTCAGTACTTATTTGAGAAAGTACAATGTAACTACGTCACCTTAAAATAAAGTGTACCCAAAGTATGATCTGGTTTATGGGTTATGCAATAAAAAAAAAAAAAAAACTATTTTCCTACTTAGTGTTTTTGTCTTGTTTTACATTCAAAATAGCAAAAAAATTCTTACATAATTAAATTATTATTATACAAATTATCAAAATGATGTGAGTTTCTGCTTGAAGCAAGACAAAATGTCAATGGGGTAAGAAAATTAATCTTACTTTCACTTTGAATTACCCCCTTAACATCTTAAATCATTATCAAGTTAATGTATCTTGATTTAGGAGTGTTTAGATGTTTGTACTGGAGAACAAGACAAAAATACTAAATAAGAAAAGAAAACTTCAGCTTACTGAGCACTAGAGGGCAGCACAGATCCATTGCTGCATTATTTTGTAACCTGTTACACAAGCTCTGAAATCTCCAGATTGATCTAGAACAAGGATGGGCAAACTCGATCCTGAAGAGCCACTGTCCCGCAGAGTTTTGCTCCAACCCTAATCATCAAACACACCAGAACAAGCTAATAAATGTCTATAGGATTACTAAAAGGCATGTGAGTTTTTATCAGGGTTTGAGCTAAACTCTGCAGGACAGTGTTTGTTCTCTTCCCCAGGACTGAGTTTGCCTATCCCTGATCTAAAATGATCTAGACTAAATCAGTAAAATACCCTAAATCCTTTCAATAAAGCTCACTAACCGTGCCTCAGACATTGAAAACATACCAAGGAGTGTGGCAAGGGTGCGCATGTCTGTCTCCATCAGAGTGTAAACTTCCTCTTTGGAGAAGCGTCCGATCCCGTGTCCGTACATCTCTCTCTTCACGATGCCACCGTTCACCTGACTCAAGATCCACCTGAGCATGTCACTCAGCGGCCCGTTTGTGGCTAACATCTTCTGCGTCTCCTCCACATTGTCCACCCACTGACAGTATGCTATCGTCCTAAAGCAAAACACACAACATATCTCATCTTGATTATCAACACAGTAACCAAAATCTTAATTAACCCTATGGAGCTTACTGTATCATATTTGATACACATATTTCTAAGGCCCCTAAATTATCAACATGATCAAAACAATGCTGAAATACCTGTGTCATGATTCTGCCCTCGTGTCCTTGATTTTCTCTAGTCTTGAGGCAGGATCATGACAGAATCATGTTTTGTGTGCAAGCATATGGTCTTGTGTTTTGAGCCATGTGCTTGTGTTGTCTCGTTACGTTACCCCGCCCCCTTGTTATCCTCGTCTCGTCATTATTGTCTAGTCAGTTTCACCTGTCCTTGTCTAGTCAGCTTCACCTGTCTTTGTCATTAGTGTTCCCTTTTTAATCTCCTTGTGTTTGCTGTCCTGTGCCGGTTCATTGCCTTACGTGCCATGTCTATACCCAGTGAGTACCTTGTCGAGTGTTTTGTCTAAAAGTTGCGATCTTGTAAAAGCCTGTCTTGTTCCTGTTTAGTTTAATGCCAAAGTCTTAGTCTAGTGTGGTTAGTCGTTTACTTTATCTTGTACTGTTTTGCCCCCTCGTGGGTTTTGTTTTCTCTGTTTTCTGTTATAATAAACGTTGTGTGTTTGTATACCGTCTGCGCTTGGGTTCTTCTGCTATCATCATAACAACCTGCCTTGTCTGATTGATAGTTTCTCCTTTTTTAAGCAAGTAAAATGCCTTGTAGTGTAATGGTACATGTGTCTTTTTGCAGTGAACTCCGTACTGATTTTATAAAGTAAAATTAAGAATAACTTCAATATTGTTTTTAATATTCCAAGACGAACACTATCTGGATTGAAGCAAATTAGGTTAACTTTATGCATCCATATTTGTTTAGAAAAATCATGTTAAAATGTGAGAATCAAATATCTTACATCAGATATTTTACATCAGGCCTTTGAGGAATGTTTATTTGTATATCTCTCAAACATCATTGCATTGCGCTGTATTATATGTTTTGACCGCACAATGAAAATAACAGAGATTTGATCATAAAACTAAGCATAACATATCATCTTACTAAGACATATATAGAGTGATAACTGATATTTATTTGCTTATTTTATAAGTAGTCTGCTAAACTGTTATAAAGATCTCACATATTTAGATTTCCATCTACAAGCTTTTGCAATATAAATAACATCAGCATATTTTTGCTCAGTTTTGGCTGAGGTGTTTTTCCTCCTCAAATATGAGCTCCATATTCTCACTATATCATACTTTATGAGGGTTAAATAGCCATGTTCATGTTGGAATCCACCTATATTATGAAAGGTACCTGACCTCTGTCCAGAATATAATGAAGAATTGAAGGTTGTTCAAATACTAGACCATGATGTGGAGGAAAACCAGCTCAGTCTCACCAGTAGAAGTGTTCCTCCACCATTTTGGTGATGGCACGCGAGATGGCTTTCTCCTGAGGACTCAGGCTGGAGTTGAGGTTCACGCCAAGCTTCTCCTCCAGGAAGTCGATGATGAACTCCGTCCCGCACACCTGCTCCTTATTATACGCGATCCAAGGCATCTTCCCTTGAGGAGACAACTTCCCATCGAAATAGTTCTGAGGAGAAAACAGTTTGTAAATCACCAAAACGTCCATCTCTTATTAGAACATAATCTCAGACATCATATTTTGTAACCTGGTAGGGAAGGTCCGCCATGCGCAGGTAGGTTTCTATCTTCAGGCAGAAGGGGGACAGGCTAGGGACTCCAGTTTTGGGTCGGGCAAACTGATGCAGAATGATGGCGTCTTCAGAGTCCAACTCCTGGTCCTTCCTACAGGGCATCAAATATATACTTAATGCACTTACACACACACACACACACAAAATCTGTGTTTCTTCTCTTCCCCAGCTGGCTTCCTAATCTAGTTGTCTAATAAACCTGGCATTGTGTACTACAACGATTGTTGGCCCTTGATGAATGCTTTGTTCTTGTTTTGCAAGTCGCTTTGGATAAAAAAAAAAAAAGCATCTGCTAAATGCATAAGTAAATATAGAAGAGCATCAGAAATGAATGGAGATCAAAGTTCACACGTGTACTAAAACTATTTATATTTTTAAAACAAGTTCATCAAATTCCTAAATTATCAATTTTGTTTCAAAACGCACTAGAAACATCAAGTTCAGAGTTCATTCTCTATCAGCAAGATTCAGTCGCTGTCCACTTTGCTAGTGCTGAAATTCATTGAAGCATCATACTAGTCATTAGCTTCCTCTCTTAAGGTTTGTTCTTATTTATTGAAACTTAAAACAATTAATCATTTGTTGTTATATTTGTTTAATGCATGTCTGAATCAATAGCTTATGTAAATCGAATAACATGTAACCTGAGACGTTTTGCTGAGGACTAACAGCACTGCCATCTCTGCAAAGGTCAGAGAGGAAGCAAAAGCACAGAATTAAACCCAATTCACTATGTCTGATCACTATAATGACGGGTCACTATTTACACAGTCTCACAAGGGGTCAGTCAAGATCATTCTGTCACTTCACAATAACACAAGTAGACATTATCCTCTAGGCCTGCAACCGTGCCCTTGAAATAGCACACATCAACATGTCAACAACATTCATGCTTTAGACGAGGAAATACATAGCATCCTATTCTTGCATCCTGCTCAAAATTCCTTGAGTTGCCAGGTATTTATTCATTCATCCTTCCTCAGTGGAGGAATGAATGGACTGCACTGCACTGTGTTGACTTGTCCAGGATATTAATTTAGTTACTATTTTTTTCTTAAAGCCGTTCATGCCCCACTCACTCCATCCAAGGGCCATAACAATACCTCATAACATATGTCACAATTCCCTCAATTATCTGCAAATGTAGAGGTTTGCAGGTGAACTAAATAAACTAACATACTCTTTACATGTGCTTTATAAACGACATATTTAATAATAATAACGATAGATAGATAGATAGATAGATAGATAGATAGATAGATAGATAGATAGATAGATAGATAGATAGATAGATAGATAGATAGATAGATAGATAGAATCTGCAAATATTCCATAATACCTAATGACAAGCAGCTCGTGTAGCAAATATGCAGCGGCGGCGAGCAGCGCGCCCCCGGTGATGTAGAGCGTTTTCCTCCACCAGGAGTCGGATCCTAACGCAGACATGATCCCTCCGTACTCCTGCAGCGGGTAGGCGATGATGTACCCATACAACGAAAAAGGCTCCTCGGAGCCGCACAACCCGAGCGAGAAGCTCTTGTTCCGGCCCAGTTCAAGCGCGCAGGAGCGGCTCCAGGCGAACCCGACGCGCCAGTACATCCTCTCTCTCCTCTATCCGCCCTTCGGCCCGCTGTGGGTTCGACAGGGGAGGCTTCATCGGTGCCGCAGGGTGGAGGTGGAGAAGGTGAGGGTGTCAGAGAGCGGGTGAGGAGCAGCAGCGGGCATGTCTCCTCCTGAAGCTGTCCGTCAGTCCCCGCGATGGGGTCGACATCCGCAGCCGCTCGCCGCCGCTGTTTACCGCACAGCTGAGCGCGTTGCGTCACCAGGGGCGGGGCTGCTGATGCTGCGAGGGGGCGCGCGGATTCTCGAATTCTCCACTCTCATTGGTCAGCTCTACTGCTGTAATGAGAGAGTTTGATAACAAAAATTTCGTAATAGCTTATAACATGAAATCAAATGTCATAAATGTACAGATGCTTAAATTCCTTGCCTACAAGAAATAGTGGATAAAGTAGCTTTGCAACTAACTCCACAGATTAGAAGCGATCATTATGTTTTATTTACACATACATTATGACTAGAAACACATATAAACATAAATGTCTAATGAAAAGTGAATGCATGCAGTGGCTCAAAATACCTTAATGATGTAATTGCACTATATAACAAAATATCAAACCAACGGCATTTAATTAAAAGAAAAATGACACTAACCTCAGTTTTAGTCTAATAGAGATATGGTAATAGAGATTAGCATGGTAATGGATATGGCAATGTTAATGTATTTGGTCTTGGCAGTATTAGATCTGCCACACTGCCTCTGCTACAGTCCAAGTATTGAGATTTGCTACTGCCAAAACATCATCAGACATTGATGTAAGCATGTAAGACACACTTTTGCACATGTAACATACATGAATTCATCCCTGTAGCAGATCTATACAGGTGACAGCAACACTACTAGTATTTGTTTGAATGTTGAGCCGCAGCTCATTGGCCGCTGATGCAACAACAACCAATCAGCTGTGCTATGTAGATAATGATGTGATGCTACCAAATTGAGTTAAAGACCTCTCAGCCTGCACCATCTAGCGCGTTATGCCAGAACTAGGTATTTATATAAAATTCTATACATTTAAAACTGAGATGTTCCATCTTTTAGCCACAAACACATATATAACGCATATAATATAAGTTTTTTGAGTGTACACACCCATTTATGTATGCATACTGTATATGTGTGTGTATTTATTTTAAGTGATAAAACAATGCAATTATTTAAAATTAAAAGAGTATTTGGTAGGACAAAACTAAACAAATAAAGAATTTTTTTTCTCTGAACCTAAAAAAAAGATCAGACTATTTTTAACAGCAGCTTTATTTAATAAGGCTTCTGAGCTTTGTTATAGACAAACAAGGAAAAAAAAAAACGAGATAACACTCCAAGCCCTCTCACCCCCACAGTTCTCACATCATCAAATATATTTACAGGCAAATAATACATACACAGTGCCTCATTTATGCTCAAAGATGTGGCAACACTCCTGAAGCACTGTTAAACATGGGACCACACAGTGAGAGACGAAGCAAAAAACAAATGCCATTCAGAACATAGCAAAACATCAACTTATTGTAATCTTTTGAAGGTCTTTCCGCAAATAGTTAAGTGTCCCAAACAAATGACGTGATGCTGATGATTGGAACCACACCCAAGAAGGAGATCTTCACTGCCTCCATTAATCAACATATTTCTATCCAAAACCCTCAAGATATTGGCTTGTCCTCCATTAAACTTGATGAATACTGCACCTAGAGACATCAATTCAAAACAAGCATTTGGGTAATGGCAAGTACACGTAGCTTAATCATACAGTAAATTTATAATAAGACAAAAATAATTTTAAAAAGTCAAGGGCTATATGTGGAAAGCACATTTACAAATGCAGTTTCGGTGCATACTGCGACCAACTCAACTGTGTCACTTGTGCATTCTAACTCTCATCCACCACACGCATGTCAAAGAAAACGTATCCAAACCAGGATTTGATTACACAGTACAAGGGTTCAAAAAGATCGCCGTCACATAGCCCTGTGGCCAATCAGTTTATAGACAGCCACTTTGTAGAGAGGACTGATCCGTTTCCCTGAGGAATACAAACTGTGAGATGGTCAACGAGAGGCACGCATACAAATACATTTGCAATTAACACACAGACAGACACACACACACACTCTCTCTCTCTCTCTCTCTCTCTCTCTCTTCGTCGCTCTCAGACACAGAAAATGATCAAGTTTTCTTTGTTCCCAAAGAGCATCCATTGAAAGAAAGCTTCATGGGACTTTTCAAGGAAGCCAGGACCTTCGACTTACAAGATTTGGGAAAACAGCACCTCTCTTAATCAAAGGTTGTGGTGCGTTTGTGTGTGTGTGTGTTTGTGTCCATAACATTCAACACTACAGCCTTAAGCTTGGCAACAAACTCTAAATCAAAGCAGATTTACTATAGGTGAGCAGCCTGCTTCCCTCCTGCTCCTAGAATGACACGGGCTGCTCTGATTGGATAAAGGAAGTAGGTGGCATCATTCTATCTGCTCTGATTGGTGGAAGAACCCAGAGAAGAGGAAATAGAGGACGTGTGTGCCAGGAATCTGTTTCCCCATGGTCATAAAACGATGTGCTTGTGAAAAGCAGCATTGAAATGTGCCGAAATGTGCTGTGTTTGCCTCTCCAAATCACTCTGCCTCAGGTCCTTCACCAGGTGGTGCTCTAGGACTGACTGTAGGAGCTGTTCTGACTCCCGTTTGAGCTCTGGTCAGTCTCACTGTATTAAGAACAAGAAGAAAATACAAGTGCAAGAGTGAGATGAAATAAAACATGCTTAAAAAAGGGCTTTTCCACTTTTCTAAAACTAAAAAAATATTTTTTTTTAAATCATTTTCAGTAATTGAAATAAAGCTGTAATAAAATAATATTAATAATGAGCTTAATAATAATAATAATTAATAACTATAAATAAAACAAAATTTTATACAATTTTAAAAACGTATGCAACGTATACAAAATGTTGCATGGGCAACTAACTGCAATAAAGTAAGTTATTCATAAAGTACTAAAACTAAAAATTTAACAAAAATGAAAGCTATATAGAAATATAATAATAATAATAATAAAAGCACATTACAAAAACAATCTAAAATTAAAAAAATATTAAATATTAATAAATAATATAAAAGTAAAAAAAGAATACTAAACTAACACCAGTTTTTATAACCATGGGTTAAATGCGAAAATTGTTTGTAACTCAAAAAATTGTGAATTTAACCTTTAAGTGTTATAAAAAGTATATAATTGTATTATAATTATCTAGGACATATTTTTTAAGAATGTAAAGGTGCAGTAAGAGATTTCTGAGAAACACTGTTGATATTTGAAATCAACCCAAACAAACACACCCGTCCCTTTATTGCTCCACCCCCAAAATACACAAACACGCAATACACAGTGAATGTCTCTTGTCTTTATCAGAGCGAAGCAAAATTATGCTTTGCAAAAAATGAAAATGATAAACGACTGGTTGTTAGTCGCCAGTAGCACAGCAGCTCCAGACAAACAATGACACTCAAAGCTGTTCTGTTACTATAGGTAATATTAAAACAACAGCATATCTAGGTTCTGTGAAACATAGTAAAACCAATGTTACTCACGAATGGAGCAGAAACAACGCAACCTCTGACCTTTTCAGACCTTCCCGCTTCGGTCTCTCCAGTACTGGAAAGCGTTTCTTATATTAACGCGAGTCCTATTGCTCTTCCCTGATCATAACCCTTATTTTTCCAGTGGTATTCCTCTGACCTTTCTCTTTTATAATGTCTCTCAGCCATCTCTCTTTTTCTACAGTCTTTTTTCAAATCCCCTCTTGCTCTCTCTCTCTCTCTCTCTCTCTCCCCCATCATGAATGTATACACTCCCTACTGCTGATTGACTACAAGTGCATTGTGGTGCTCGGTCCGATCCACTTTAAACAGTATTTCTCAGAAATCACGTACTGCACCTTTAAGAGTTGCAAAGACATTATGGAGATCTAGCAAGTGAGCTAATTTCAAATAAAGAGTAATGAAATCAGCCTCTTTTCACTGTTTCTCTTTGCAGTGGTAAAATAAATAAACACACTCCATGCTATTTCCATATAAATAAAAATACATGTGTGTGATTTGAATAACTGAGGTTAAAGAACAGCAGTCTGTCGTACCTGTTAGGAGGGGGTTTGGGTTTGGGCACCTTGTTGAGCACAGCGGCCATTTCCTTTCTATCATCAAAGTTCTTCCACTGGTCATAGAGTTTCAGTATCACCCTGATGATCTCCAGGATCTGTTGCAGAAAAGCTCCAATGTTAATGTACACTCACAGGGGGATAACATCCACAGCAAGACAGCTGAATGCGTCTTACCTTCTCCATGTCAACAGACAGCTCAGCAAACCACTGCCTGGCATCTTTCTGCTGTACCACACATGCCACATGCAGGCAGGCTGGAGAAGGAAGGACACAGTATCTGTAAGTCAGCAATTTAAATCTAAAACTTCAAGTTTTCTGCTGGCTTGCAAGCATAAGACCGGTCGGATTGGGTGTAGAAAGTTTCTTCTTACCAAGTGCAATCATAAATGGAGGATAAAGTAGACACAGGTCCGTCCTGTAGGTGTCATTCACTATCCTCCTACACACACAGAGACAGAACTTTCACATCAGACATACATGTTCACTTATTCAGCATATTTTTCAACACAGAAGAAGTAAACTTTTCTGTGAATGTGCAAGACTTCCGATTCTTTAGTTGATATGAGTAAATAACTAGAAGATCAACAAACTGTAAAACTATTTGTACTACAAACAGGTGTGTTTATGATTACAACACATTAAAATCATTAATATAATAAGATAAAAAAAAAATGCAGTTTGCAATGTTAAGAAGCATAACAGACTGTTTTTGTACAGCTTAAATAACAAAGCAAATGACACATTCTACAAATGGATGCACTCTCTCTGCGTTAGTCACCATGATTTTTTAATGGAATATTGCAGTAGGCCTATTTATTATAAATTATTTATCTGTGCACATAACTATTTTTTAAAATTCATTTGCCCTCATAATCAATAGGGAGGGGCAACCTGTAACTTACATGAGATCCACCAATAGTTAACCACAACCATCCAATTAATCCCCATGGACAAAATCAAGTCCCGCCCTACATTTTTTTTCTTGAACGAGAAGCAGTTTCACTCGGATATACATCACAATAAGGAAGAAAAGACTATCGCAACTTTCATTTCATGACTTAAAAAAAAAATAAGGTGGTCAGAAACCAAAGAGCTTTTTGGAGATGTACAGAAGCAAGAATCTCGTATAGCCAATCTTATCAGTATAAAGCAGGGGTTGGCAATGTTTGGCACGCAGGGTAATCGCTGGCACATGAGCAAAAGCGAGAGAAGTCAATGAAAGCATCAATGATCTCACAAACCATTAGCGCGACCATTGCGCATCACGAGCCGTTGAAAACAAGACAGAAAACAAGAACAGTTTGTTCTGCTGTATTTGCTGCAGTTAGCTTTGAGAAATAAGTTAATGCTATAAATTTACTTATATTATAAATCGATTTTCAACTATTCCAGTATATAGAGTCCTATTTAACACAATGACAGTGATGTGCAAACTAATTTATTAAAAGTCTAATTGAAACTTGAAAAACAAACTTTTTGGAAACATTTTTAAAAAGTATGGAAAATTGCTTCAGAAATATTTAAGGTTCTGCACTAGTTTTGTAACCAATCACATAAGCAAGTTTGAGATCGATCAAGTAATGTTTGATGGTATGGCACAGCGAATAACTAGGAAACCTAAAAATTGCACTCCAAAAAAATAGCTCCCTACACCTGGTATATAGTCTGGTCCACAATGCAACTTTTCTGTTGCATCTCTATATCGACATATAAAGAGAAGTAAACTGTGGTTGTTTGTTTTGCCGTGCCGTCTGAAGCCACACACACACTCCTCACCAAGCCAGCGGCAGCAGCATGTCCTCCTGACCCATGTCCTGCACATACTGCAGTAATGGCCTGTACGGGTGGTACACGATCAGACAGCAGTCCTAAAATAAAACAAAGCCAAACATCCATGAACACACGCTGAGAACAAACACCTAAACATTCTACTGAAGAAGAATCAACACCAACCATGAGCTCCAGTAAATAGAATTCACATTCCAGGATCTAGAGAAACGGAGAGAGGCATAAGTTCACTGTGAAATTGTCTCACTAACACGTTACGTGGACTAATTATCATCTTTCCCATTACGATGATCCATAAATGTTCCTCCAGCACTCCATAAGGCCGAGATGTTTCCCTTACAACACCTGACCGGTGGCACGCTGAACAAATAACACTTATCACCAGCCCGAGATATGAGCTGCCAAAACCATTTATCACGATAATGAGACTTTCCTACGAAGGTGTCGGGAGTGTGAGGAATGTCACTCCTGATTGGGTGTCAGATACTTGGTGATACTGAAGGCCGAATCATCACCACACACACAATCTCAGACTCTTGTCTAGCGTTTCTATCATATAAATCCGACAGTTACAAGAAGTTATTATCTAGTTATCTAGTGGTGCTGTCAGATATCCAAAATCTTGATCTGGAGCAAATTAACTCTGGCAACACTTTATGTTACATGTAAATTATGCAGAATTGCATGAAACTAACCCTGGCCTAAACCAAACCCTAATTCTTACCCCATAGTAAGTACATGAAGTTAATTAATATTACTCAGTACTTGAATGTATAATTGCACTGTAACAAGGACACCTTCAAATTAAGTGTATTCGTAAGTCTTTCAGCACAAACTATTCTCAGTAAGAGACAAATAACTTGGACTGCAATATCAAGGCCATCTGGTACAACTCGCACTCGCTTACATGCCAGATCAGTGTCTCGTGAGTTTTGTGGTGTAGAAAGCACAGAAGTTTGACTCACGTGGTTCATTCTGAAGGGAAACTCCTTTGGAAAAGCATAAGAGAACCTTGTTTTCACTGTTACAAAAAGAGAATGAGAAAATAAATCACCAAAAACATATTCTATTACATTAGTATGAAATGATTACATGAGTAAAAGACCCATTCACAGCAAGAACAATAATTATATTAGCGTCCAGCGCACGATATTGTTCTGTTTATTATAAGCGCGCGCGGCAGTTTTGTCGTCTGCCTGTTTAAAGCAGGATGGATTCTGATTGGCTGTCAGTGTTTTTATCATTCATCAGCTAGAAAAAATCATTCTGAAAGTGATTCCAATGACATTATTTCTCAGTGCCATTATGGTTATAGATGTGGTGTGGATTCTGATTTTCTTTTATATTTAGATAGATTTTTAGAACTATATCTTTATAGTTGGCGTTATAGTTATCGTCATTGGTGGCAAGTTTGCAAGCCAAAACTGAATGAATTTGAAAATTATGGCTAAAAAAAGTTTCATTAAATGCTGATTTGCACTGTATATTAATTTCTCAACATAATAAGCAAATATGTTTGTACAATTCAGCTTTAGAGAACTAAAAAAAAAACACTTCTATCACTTATACATTTCTGTAGTAGTTACTTTATATTTTTGCTAGTTACTTCAGAATACTTATACATTTCTGCTGCAGTTTGATGAATTCGTAAAATATAAATCACTTACACACAGACGTTGCTGCTGAAATAAGCCGTGTGTTCGAAACAACACCAAATTCCTGCCAAGGAAAGGATTTCCATTGAACAAAATTAAAATCTGATGCATCTTTTAATAGAAATTCCTACACTGAGAGAGTATTTACCTCGACTTTAGAGGCCAGGAATACACATGTAGGGGCCATAAGCACAGGGTCTATGCTCTTCAGAGAGTACCTGAAAAGAAGACAAGAGTTTTCTTCAATCTATCAAAAACAGAACAGCCATCATTCTAGATCATGAGTATCAATCGGTATATGGAGGAAATGATGGCTGTAACCATGGCAACGACCCACTCACCTGGCATAGAAGCGCTTAAAGTAGACAGTTGCTGTGGCGATGACCTGCTGTCTGAGTTTCAAGTGTTCTCCCAAGGCTTGAATCACTGCCATGAGATGACAAATTAAACTATGTAAATTCTTTAAAAGGCAAGGTTTATCCCAATAGACTTTGAATGTGTATATATATATATTTATATATATATATATATACACACACACACACACACACACACACACACATATATGTATATATATATATATATATATATAATAAAAGCAACTGAATAACACCTGAACATGTACATTAATGCTCTGCTGTAGCCTGAGCAAATCATACATTTCTGTACACATATTCATGAATATCATATAGAATATACTGTCTGTAAATGCAGTCACATTCAGAACAGGCCCATATTCACTCTACATTTCAGTTAGACAGGAAGATGATATATAATTTATCTCCAAACCATTGGCAAAAAATATCTGTAGCTTCCAGTACTCCTCCTCTGTGAGGAACTTGAGATCTTTCTGTCTCTCCTTCATCAGATCCTGTTTGTCCAGAACCCACTGCAGACTGGCGAGAACAAGCACATCAATTACTTCCAATTTAGACATCCTTAATGAATACTAGCAAACAAATCAACACTGCAGTTTAGATTTAATACACTCTTAATGTCAAAGAACACATACATCAATCATATACAAACTTCATATAAGCATCTAAACATCACGACACTACAATAATTATTTTTTATATCAAATAAAGGGATGAAAAGAAACTCATGCCTTGAATAACACACATTTATCCAGATTATTCATAAATTGAATTCCTCTGTGGTTTCTTCAGTCCAGAACCACTAGCCAGTCGGCTAAAGCTAATAATCCAGAGATGTATACTGTTCAAACAATAAAAGTAATTGAATCTAGTGTTTAATCTTTATCATTCCAATTACCGAGATTTGGTAAATAGTTCTCTTTAATTAGCCAAATCCATGAATTTTTATTTATCTTGCAGCTTCGCAGCAACAGCAACACCTCTAGAAATACCTTTAATGCTCTCGATTTATGTCACAGAACACGTCTCTACTTACTAATGTGAACTCTGCCAGAAGTTCCCTGCCATCTTGAGGTGGTTGAGGTAGAAAATAACCCTTAATGTGATGTTAAATTGTGTTTAAATGAAACGAAGCTCTGATTAGGATCAGACGAGGAGCGCGACACAAAAAACACTCCGTAGGATTTCAATGTGCAAAATAAAACTGTCCGGGAGGAGGCAAACTTACGCATCAGTTCCGGACAGATTCCTGCGCGAGTTTATTAGTAAATACAGTAAACGCCTTTAAATAATAATAATATAATAATTATAATAATACAATATAATATAATATAATATAATATAATATAATATAATATAATATAATATAATATAATATAATATAATATAATATAATAAGCTGATCATGTCTGTCTGCAGTTTTAATTCAGTGGGCAGAGAGTTCCATAGTCTCGTACCATTAAAAGAGAAACTGACTGACCAAATGATTTTTTTAATCTCGGAAGAACACAATCCCCACTGACTGAGGCTCTGGTTAATACAATATAATATAATAAGTTAATAACAATCTAAGTGCATCTGAAAATCTGACATCAGCTTTAAATAATATGCATTTATAATAAATTATATAAATAATATCATATAAATAATATTTACTGTATTATTGATAACTATTTAAATGTAAAAAATAATTTCTTCACTTGATAGATAGATAGATAGATAGACAGATAGATCATGTAATTACTGTGTTTGTTTATTTGTTTGTTTGTTTCCAGAACATAGTCTATAGGCTTAGGCTAGTGACATAGCGGCAATATATGATAGTCCAATTATATCAGCATGCATCTCCTTGATGAAGTCACTGGTGACTCCTTGATGAAGTCACAATCTCCAAGTTTTTAGACAGTTTTAGTGCATAGAATGTCATTATTAATAAGGGACTCATGCTTGCCAGCTTCATTAGGGAAAGCTCACTCCTCTATTTTTACCGCGGTAAAACTCTTCGCGGTGGCCCGTCAGATAGTTCAGAGATAGTTCGACTCTGTGTCAGACCAAGGTTCGACATTCCTCGTCCAGACAGCAGGTATAAAGCTCCCTCGTGAATGAGTGCGGACTGAAAGCTTCTGTCGCATCTTTGGAGACGCGCAAGGACCATCACCTTCACCATGAGTTACAGCCCAGAAAGGATGTCATCTTACCGCCGTCACTTTGAGGGTGGCCTGACCTCGTCTTCCACGCTCCAGGTCCGGGTGTCCAGCCCTTCGCCCACCCGTGGGCCCGCGCGCCACCGCTCCGCCAGTTACAACCGGAGCGGCACTTTGGGGCGCAGGACGCTCTCCGGATCCCGCAGATCACGCATGACCAGGTAAGCCACAGTAGTGGCCAAGTGATGCCTAGGAAAACAGACATCTTCACCCTTTATTCAAATATAATTTACATTCGTTTAAGCATATTGTGTAGTTGTGCTTGCAGTCAAAAGTTTTATTTGTGATAACGCAATTGGACAGGCTGTCATACAAAAACAAAAAAAAATAGTTTGAACTGATTGTTAGTCATGTATGCTTTTTCTTGTGAGCTTTTTGTTTTTCTATGAATTTTTAATAAAACCTGTTGCTTTAGTTTGCGTTTTTGCCAAATAATTTTGTCAGATAAATAGGCTACCTTAACTAAGTTTAGTATATTGTTCTTCGCTCAAATTTAAAATATTAAAACATATAGTTTACTCACATTTTGATGGCTTAATTGAGCTTGGTCATTAACCCCCCAATTATATATAATATAATTGCTGACTAAAATTAAATCCACAAAAAAATGGATTAGGCTACTAAATATTTACAGAATTTAAATGAAATATTAAAAACCTTAAATTATATAAAAATATAATAAGTAATAGGCTATAATATAATATACTATAATAATAAGTATATTATTTATAGACGTATTACTCTGATTATAATATATAATAATAATATGATTATTAATAGGGTTTAGTTCTCTATATTAACTATTAACTACAACATTTGCCTCAATAAACTCCTAATTACTGCTTATTAATAGTTAGTAAGGTAGTTGTTAAGTTTAGGTATTGGGTGGGATTAAGGGATGTAGAATATGTTCATGCAAAATATGGCATTTGATTAATATGTGCTTTATAAGTACTAATAAACAGCCAATATCCATATGCAGGCTAATAAGCAAGTTAATAGTGAGAATTGGACCCTAAAGTGTTACCAATTAAAAAAAAAATCTATTTCAAAATAATAAATGCTGTAAATGTATGTTTTGTTTCCTCTACAGCAGTGTTAGTATGGGAACGCTGTGTCTGGGCATGGGTTGGGGGGTTGCAGGAGGTGCTGTGGATCTGGACGCTGCCGCTGCTGAGAACCAGGCTTTCCTCAGCACACGCACAGGTGAGAGAAAGGAGATGGTTGCCCTGAACGACCGCTTGGCTGTATACATCGAAAAGGTAAGACACTTTACCTCTTTTGGTTTCTTTATGGTGCCCATTTTAAAGACAGCCCTGTAAGTTTTGGTGTGGTCGTTGCAGGTTCGTTCTCTGGAGCAGAGCAACAAGCTGCTGGAGGCAGAAATTGATGCCATCAAGGGTCACTATGTGAAGCCGTCCGGCCTGAGACTGCTCTATGAGGAGCAGCTGAGGGAGCTGAGGAGGATTGCAGACCAGATGAAAGTCCAGCGGGTGAGAGATGGAGGACCACAGGGCGATTATGCCTTACTCACTTACACATGTACACCATGACTCTCACTCATCTCTAGCCAGGATCGCCATGATAACTGCCTCTGTGCCCTTGTAGGACCTGGCGGTAGCAGCAAAGGATGCCATGGCAGGTCAGCTGGAAATGCTGAAGGTCAAATACGAGGAGGCTCTTGAGGCCAGAAAGAAGGCGGAGCTTGAGATCGAGGCCTTCAGACCGGTAAGAGATCCAACTTAATACAGAAAGTGTAACATCACTTGGATTTATGTAATGATGGGGTTCAAACTCCCTCTGTATACTAGGATGTGGATGCAGCCACGTCTGCCCGAATTGCCTTGGAAAAACGACTGGAAAACCTAGAAGTGGAGCTCGAGTTCCTACAGAGGATTCACAAAAAGGTTCAGACCATTTACATATCATTATGAAATCCCTATCACAGTACAGATTGCTAAGTTTAATTGTAATGTGTTAGTAATTGAAACAATAAAGGATATTGTTAGATTGCCTTCTTAATCAACATTTTCTGTATGTCAGGAAATCGAGGAGTTGATGGCTCAGATTTATGGATCGGTGGCTAAGGTAGATGTGGCCTTCTCTTTGCCCGATCTGGCCACCGCTCTCAAACAGATCCAGGCTCAATATGACAGCATCGCCGCACAAAACCTGCAGGTAATCGGTACAGGCCGCAAATAAACCTCACCATGCCTAATACTGACCTTCGGTGCTCACATGTTTTTCCCAACTGGTGTTCACTAGGAGATGGACGCCTGGTACAAAGCGAAGTTCCAAGATCTAAACAATGCAACATCACGGCACATGGAAACAGCAAGGAGCGTCAGAGAAGAAATCACAGCTTATAAGAAAGAGGTGTGGAAAATAGTGTTTTCCTCTCCTGTGCCTCATTTAACAAAAACACCAAACTGTACGGCCTTATAATTTAACTTGTGTGTGTTTGCAGATTCAAAATAAACTGAGAGAACTGGAGGTTCTTAAAAACAGGAATGAAGCACTGCTGCTCCAGATCAAAGAAGCCCAGGAGAAATACAAGAGAGAGGAGGAGGAGCTACAGGTAAAGACACGCCCCCTTCAATGTAAAACCCAAATTGGTACATCTTTTGAATAAGTAATTACTTCGCAATCGTTTAAAAAGTATGTTCTATTTAATGTGGATTTTTGTAGAGACCAGACATACATTTGTCACGTTGTAATTGTCATGTGACCTACCAGTATGAGTTGCGTCGCTTTACCGGCATTCACAACTCCAAAGTGTCCTTCAGCTGCACTTTTCAGAAGTAGTAAGTCATCCGGGTACTTTTTGCGTACAATAAATTCGGACATACTACTATTTTCGCATACTGTTTTTCGCCTACTTAAAAATTAAGTTTCTTAATTGGCATATGGCTCCATGAAGAACTTTCAACATCCATGGAACCTTTCCATTGCACAAAAGGTTATTTTAGTGTAAAAAGGTTCTTTAGATCAATAAAATGTTCTTCACACTAAGAAACAATGGTTCTTTTAAGATCTTGAAAGGTTCTTTGAGGAACCAAAAATGGTTCGGCATCGCTGCAAAAAAGAGAGTGCATGTTATAGGAAACTATGCAATTTTAGATGCAGCCAGTCAAACTTATAAACTATATAGGTTTTCAATTACCACTGAGACCTGCAGTGGCCAGTTTTTTTTTTTTTTGGGCCATCAAGCAACCATCCAGAAAACTCTAGCACCCACCCAAAATGCTTTAACAACCACACAGCAACATGCTTCAATCCCTCAGAACATCTTAAGAGTTTTGCACGAGCAAGCTACACTCACAAAACGAAGTTTATTTTAATATCTCACTAATTCATGTGTCATAGATCCGTATAAAGACTTTGAAGGAGGAACTGAAGTCTATTAAGGGGAAGATTGCGCTTCTGCTGAGAGAATATCAGGATCTGCTCAATGTTAAGATGTCGCTGGAGATTGAAATCACCACATACAGGTACTGCATTTCTGCCATTCCACCTTGAACCAACAATTCAGTGCTGCAGTGATAATGTATTTTTGAAGGCCAATCCGGAAGTTCGCATCACCCTGGTTCCCTCAACAAAAAAACGCTTGTTAATGCTTGTTTTGTCTTATTTAAAATCATTTTAAGTACTCTTGAGGCCTGCTTCGAAGTTTGCTAAGGCCCCCAAGTGGGGCCAGGACTCCTATTTGAGAACCACTTTTCTGTATAGAAGTTCTGAGAGTGTAACTCATTTTGCTGTGTCTCTGCAGGAAGCTGATAGAGGGAGAAGACAGTCGCTTATCCAGCATGGTGAGCAGTCTGTCTCTCATGAGCGCGAGCGCAGCAATGGTCAGCAGCGTTTCCGGGGCAAGCAGTCAAGGGGTCAGTGGAGCGGTGAGCTCATCCGCCTCAGAGAAGATGCTCTCCAGCAGCTCAATAGTCAACCACAACCATCACGAGTCCGTGGAGGAGTTCAGCCATGAACAGGCTGTGGAGATGACGGAGAGGAAAACGGTCCTCATTAGGTACAAGTAAACCGCTCTACTATAATATTACAGAAAATCCTGGTTGCAAGTTATATTAAAAGGCAATTCGAATACATGTGAATTAATTTTTCCAGAAGCTAATGCCCATCTCTCTTTGGTTGCAGAACAGTTAAGACAGATGAGGACATGATTCAAAGGGACACACAAGAGCGCACGATCACCATCTCTGGCGCCGCAGATGAGAACGATTGAATTAGACCCTTGTATTAGTCATGAGACCTCGACCTAAACCTTCAAAGTTCATTACTTAGAAAAACTATCAGACCAGAGAAATAAACATCACAAAGAATCTCTCATCCTTTACTACCTCCTTTGTGCTTTGACTAATCTGCTAAAACAGCATGTATTAAGCGTTTAACTGTGGGTCATCAATACAAATAAAGCTTGTTTGCACAGCATTTGTTTTTTTCCAAATGTTTCAGTACAGTTGTTCTGCGTCCGAAGTGCTTATATGGCAAATAAAGAGAATCAATGTTTTTATATGGAAACAAAAGTAGAGACATTTTACAGCAAAACACCAAAATGATGGTGCTAAAATATTTTATTTAATTAAAGAATTATAGCTAAAAAACATCAGTTTAAAATAGCATGATGCAATATACAGTCCAGTATGCCTTAGATTTCAGATCATTTAAGGCTTTAATTGGAGAACAGCCTCATGTTGATTGCACATACACTACCATTCAAAAGTTTTTTTGTGTTTTTTTTTTGAGAAATTTATATTCAGCTAGGATACATTAAATTGATCAAAAGATTTCTATTTCAAACAAACACTGTTCTTTCGAACTTTCCATTCACCAAAGATTCCTCAACAAAATGTATCAGTTTCCACAAAAATATGAAGCAGCACAGCGGTTTTCAACATTGATAATGAAACATTTCTTGAGCAGCAAATCATTAGAATGATTTCCGAAGGATCATGTGACACTGATGACTGGAGTAATGATGCCGAAAATTCAGCTTTACATCACAAGAAGATTTTTTTTTTTTTTATATATATATATTCAAATAGAAAACAGTTATTATAATTTGTAATAATATTTGGCAGTATTATGTAGTTTTTATCCAATAAATTCAGCCTTGGTGAGACTTTCAAAAACATTTAAAAATCTTACCGACACCAAACTTTTGTTCCGTAGTGCTATTTTCATTTTTTCACTCTATTATCAAGATGGCAGGTAAATGTGAAAATTATTGGCAAAATTGACAAATGCATTTTATACAGTCTGGTCTGATGAAGTGAGTCTGAGGAAATATTCACATGGATCATGGTTTAACATTCCCACATAATCATACACTTCCATTAATAAAGATTGTTGGTCATTCATACAGTACAAGAGTAAACTATTAACATTGGTCATCTTCCAAAACATTTGTTAGTGCAACAAAAAATATATAGTTTACAGTATTTTTAATATTGACATGATTTGATTGGATTGAATCTCATTGACTGATGGCATGAATGTGTGCGTGTGTGTGTGTGAGTGAGATTATTGTAAAGGTTTAGGCTCGTCTCCGACTCCTCCAGCGAGACGATACACAGCCAAGCTGACCTCATGAGCCAGATCATCAGCACTTTCCTGCAAATAAAATTAAAATAAAATTACATTGCAATTGCAATTACAATTAAATATATTGTGATATTTAGGGCTTCCCCAGACCAAATATTTTTCTAGTCCTTGTAGAGCTGGTAATTACAGCTTGGAAGATTGGAATTTTCTGAGAACTCCAACTTGTACCACATGACCGCTGCAGATTCATTTAGGCGTTAATAGTGCTGCCACAGAAATGCCATGCAGTCCGAGGACGCGAACAGCTTGAATGTAACGTCACATGTTGTCATCTTGAGACTAAGGTAATTACAGGATGGCGTGAACGCCGCAAAATGCACATTAAATTAAACATGTCGTACAGTAAATGCGGTACTAATTTACCTTCCACACCCCACACGAACACTTGGAAATGTGCCTAATAACAGCGCACATTTATCTAGGTAAACAACGTTGAAAGGCGAATGTTTGGATTTCCTGTCAGACATAATAACCTCATGGACCTAGCCTGGGAAAACCCAGACAACTTCCGGCAAATTTAGATTTGCTCTGAAAGTTAGTCTGGCAAAGAGCTCATTCAGGCCCATTTCCAATCCGCCGAAATCGAGGCACCAATCAGAAACGTTGGGGCGGGCTTTACACGATGACGACAGCGCTGGGATTTTGAAGCAGATTTTGTAGCCTACATTACAAAGATGGATGCCGCATCCGTCGAACATCACTCGTTCGAATCAGCTATCGCGTCTGTTTTAAGCGATTTGAACGTTTCCTTTTTGTTAAAAACCGAGCAAAGAACAACACTCGAAGATGTTTCTCCGCCGCTCTGCATACGTCATCTCCTTCATCGCTCTGATTGGTTTTAGGTCTATCCGCCACGTCCGTTGGTGACGCTCCTCTGGAAATGATTTGTCTATGACGCTTTGCCAGACCATAACTCAGTTACAATTGAGAATGGTCTGGTTTTAACCAGGCTATCATGGACCAGCAGTGTTAACGATCTGTCAGTCACAGACTGTGTGACGATCAACCGACTAATTAAAAAAGCCTCTCCTCATCAATTAATGTTGGGTCGACTATTAGGCAGCCCCCTAGTGATAAGCAAGAGAAAGTGCTTATAATGACACTAGCAGTGTGTGTACCTGTGTGTCAGCCTCAGCATAGACCCTGACCACATCTTCAGTTCCAGATGGTCTAACAAAGGACCGAGCGTTTTTGTACTTCTTGACAAGCGAGTCGATGGCCTCCTGCAGACCCTCTGGAGTCACGGCCCTCCTCTCTGCGTCTGTCGTATCTATGACACGCCGGTCTGACACCTGCAGAGTCCAGCAGTTAAAACACACACACTTACACTCAAACCTCACAAAACACACATAAGTACACACCGTGACTTTAAGTTGACGGTTGGGCAGGTCTGTGTAAACTGCATCCCAGTCTTGCACAGACATCCCTCTGATAGCCAACACAGCTTCAATCACTAGCATATCTGAGATAGCGTCTCCAACCGTCTGAGGAAGAGAGCAAGGGAGTTAAGTATGGAAAATTACGCCTAGATTTATATCTATAGGGCATCTGAAGATGCAGCTTGATGGCGTATGTTTTTATACCTGGTTAATCAGATTAACTGTGTTCTCCAGGATTTTTAGCGCACGTTTTTTCTCATCGTTGGTGTTCGGGTCTTTCACCAGCTCCAAAATCTGTTTCTGTGCTGCTTTGCTGAACAAAACCTGAAACATATCAGCAAAAAACACTAGTAAAACCACAAGTTTCAACACACTACTAACCAAACGCATCCAGGCCCCGCCCCTTTATTTTGCATATGCCTTTGGCAGGAATCATTTAAATGAAGAACATTGTGAGGTGTGCGTTCGCGGTAAAAAACTTAAGGCATTTCAAGGAGTTCAGAAACAGTGCGCACTGATATAGAGAATAGCTCACTTTGGAAGCAACATTACACACTAAAGAAAGTTGAAAATGTAAAAAAGCATAATAGGTCCTCTTTAAAGACTCTAAACTGAAAAGCTGGTTCAAAAGTAAGTTTGCTGAACTCTGACCTGCTAATTTAAATAGTGAAAATTGCATTATTTTGCAATGAACTCACAGTTCCATGTCCATTAGCCTCAAAATACACTCCAATATCATATTCCTGCGCCGCATGATGTAGGTGCTTCACTCCTGTTTTCGTACAGCAGACTGTGACCTGTTGAAAGGTCAAAGGTCACCTTAACATCTCATAAACACTGAGTAGCAAGAAATTGGAGAGTACTATAGTAACAGGACATATTTCTAAGAACATCACCTTCATGACGTCCTCCAAGTAGCGAGTTGAGCTCCCATTAGCATATGCTGTCTGAACAACAGCAATCTGTAAATTCAACCCAGCCTGAACACACACACATAGACAAAATTAATGTCCGAATTTAAATTTAGAAGTGGCTAGTTCCATTCTAGACCTTATTCATGTGTGTAGTAGAACCTGTGTGAGCAGCTCTTTGAGATATGTGCTGATTAGAGTAGCGATCTTGTCTCCGTCCAGGAGATGGAAGCGGCCCTTAGAGTCAGTATAATAGTAAACAATGCGATCGGCATCACCATCGAACGAGCAGCCGCGTTCACCTGCTGTCATACTCACACCTGGAGAGAGAAAAGTGAGATTTCTCTGATTATTCGGTATGAACAGATTTAAGTGTTTTCAAGGCTTCTTTCATTATATTGTAAATTAAACTCTCTCTGGTTCGGTTTAAACAAACACAAATATTTAATCATCTTTTCATCTCATATGAAAGGGTTTTTTCCTCATTGGACGTTCAATGAATTTTTATTTTCATCCTTCAAAGAGTTCTGACAGACCTTGAGGAGCTTTCTGCTGGACTTTGACGTAATCTGCTCCACACAAGTGGTTGAGTTTCCCACTGCTGCCATCATTTGAAAGCATGACCTGCAGTTCGGAGCGTAGAAACATCTCCATTTCTCTCATCTTCAATGCACCAATGCCGTTGGCTCCATCCACCAGAAGCTTCTTCTGATCATCAGTGCGATTTGGGGCCTTTGGAATACAAGTAGAAAAACACTCAATGCTAGAAATAAACAGGATCATTAAAGTGCCCCTATTATGCTTTTTTTGGACATTACCTTTCATGTAGTGTGAAATATAGTCGTTTGTGAATGTAAAAAGGTTTGCAAAGTTTCACAGATCAAAGTATACGATAAATTAAGTTATTGTCTCCCAAAAGAAAGAACAGATTCTGAACTGCCTGAAACGAGTCGTCAGTAAATCCAGCCTTACTTCCTGCAAAAACCTATTTAGGTTTGTAACAAATTTGCTTAATGCCAATCTATGGTCTTCACTGGCCGCTGGCAAACAAAAAACTACTTTGACCAGCCCTAAAACACTGCAGTTGCAGTTTGGTTTGTTTTGCCGATTTTGCCTGCACTTCCAATGGATGAAGACTCTAGCCCAAAATGATGCAGTAAAGCCGGAGCCATCGTTACTATTCCTATCACTGTGTATCAAGCTGAAATTCAGATATGGTAATAGGCGTTTCGTTTCTGATAAAGCGGTAGACCAATCACAACAGGGTGGGATTTAGAAAGGAGGGGTCTAGAGACACACTGTGAGAAAAGTGGTGATGCTGCAATGTATATTATGAGAAAATGAAAGTGACCTTGGATGCATGCAAAATTATTGTAGGAGACCTACAAAACAAAATGAGGAACCTTTAGCGTAATAAGGGCACTATAGTGTTTGGAGATCATGCAGAAGCTTGTATGTCGCCCTTACGTTCTGGGTGAGCTGAAGGAAAGCCTGTGAGAGTTTCTGGTAGTAGCCCTCAACAGTGGGACTGCCATAGCAGCCATTTGTGTTGCAACAGCACACCATATAATGCAGCTGGGGAGTGGTGACCAGACCATAGTCTTTTAAAAGAAACACACACCCATGATCAACACAGAATAACCAACAGAGCAATACATCAACCTTTGTACTGTCATATCTCCCAACTGCACCTACACTCTAAAAAATAATGCAACGGCAAGACTACTTTAATTTTTGTAATGTTAGGAACTTTGTGAACACACCATGAGTTTTGCCTCCCAAACTGGAAACGCCATCCAATACAGCCTGAGAGAGACTGACACTGCTTGGTCTAAATAAAACAAACAAAGAGAAATAAAAGATAACTTCGATAGTCCACTTTAGACATTCTACTAATTATAAGTAACTTTGTATAAGTAATAACAAACTAATAAAATAATTATAAGTAACTACATGTCAACTAGCAGTCATTAGAGTATTAGTAGACTGTCTGCTAAATATCTGCTAACACTTTATTTTGATGGTCTGCCAACATAATATAATAAGCTACGGCTTCAGCTTATACCTTTTTCAGTTGATAATGTATAGCTAAATGTGTATGAGGACCAAAAAAAATCCTGATAATGATGATTACAATAAGCATGATTACTTTCAGCTACAATATTGAATCACATTTTCAGACTGTAAAACATCTGTTGGCACTGGCAGTGTTTTTGACTTGATCTACTGGCTTGGCCACTATGAAGTCTACAGGTTTGGTAGCTTTCAACTGTGACAGTTGTTAACCTGCCTGCTTTGTAAACAGAAGCCAGGCTTACCTGGTGTCTTTGCCGATGTAGACACTCGCTGGTTCACTCATGCTGATGTCCTCTTTCTCAATAACATCTCTCAGTGCTTTGAGGAGAGAGTCCTGCTCGGCGTTAGCTAGCTGTGTGGCGTATTCCTCCCACACTGCTGTCACCATCTCCCCCATGGGGTCAATTAGCTTCACCCCATTGTCTTCCTGAAAAAGATGATAACATTGCAGCAACATCCTCGGAAAGTGAAAATGCACCACTGTTCTATTGATATGACAGTAAATGTGGACACACATGTGTGCATCTCTTACCTCTGGGTTATGGGAGGCAGTCACCATGACTCCTATGGTGGATTTTGTCTTTTTAGACCTCAGAGTTGCCAATAGCCCCATGCGGAACATGATGTGGTCCAGATGTTTGGCGTGAGTGCGGAATCCAGCTGTGCCATATTGCAACTTAAGCCCCTCTGGCTTCGGATGCAGCTTGGACTTTTGAGATACCTCCTCAAACTGAGCCATCTCTGAAAACAAAGACAAAAACAACTCAATGTAACAATAAGAAGCAGGAGAAGAAAGTTCAACACTCTTACTTCAGCAATAAACAAAATGAAACACAAATGTGATGTTTATCTAAAGTCATTTTTGCTTATTCGTGTGGTTGAACTGGATCATCGAAGGTCAGCAGCAAAGACATTGGTTCATAAAGTAAGAATAAATACATAAATATGTGTAATTTAACATATTTAATTATTGCAGGTTTATGTAATATTTCACTGTTTTTATTCATTTTTGAGGAATACTGAATCTGTTTTTGTGTAAAACGAGTAAATGCATGTTCACACAACACCTCTGCTCTGCATTTACTCCAGATTTCTCTCACATGAGGACAGGAGAGCTGTCAATTCATGTATTGGAAAACAAAGTATTTTGTGTTACTTATTTGAAAGAGTAGGCTAACTGAGATATTTTATTGTTAATTTAAAGAAATGCATTACTTTACTATTAATGAAAAAGTAACTTTTAATGGGTTACCCCATAACATGTGCTTCATGTAGTTAGTTATATGCATTGCTGAGATTGGACTATAAACATGAAAAACGTTAAAAACCCAAAGCAGTTTGCGATTTAAAGTGCACACACCTCCATTAAAAAACTGCAATAATCAAAACAATAATCTTCCAATCAATCAATCCCGCGATAAATAGCAAGGAGTAATTTGTCTGTTCCAAGTAATATATCCCAGAATGATAAATGAACAACCGAACAATAAAACATGCACACTTACAGATATAAATAGATGTAAACATAATCATAATGACATTACAGTTGTTAAAATATTAAAAATGAATGAATGAATCTTCTAATCACACTTTTGCAACACATTATCCGTGTATGCAAACAAAAACAAGACAACTGAACTCTTATAATTAGTTAGAGTATTTACCATTAAATGAGTTTACTATGATGACAGTTGATGAAGTTTACACTCACTCTGCTGTTTCTGCGGCTGAAGGGCGTGAGCTCTGAGCAGCGCTTCCTGCTTCCCTGATTACGTGGCTACAGTGACGTTAGTCACCACGCCCCCTCTACTGACGTACACAGGAACGTTTTGCATATTTTAACCATAGACAGTAAAAGAAAGGGTTTAACCCACAGATCAAAGTTTAATTATTTCAAAGGCTAGCAACCTGTGCTAACTGAGAATGTTCATTGTTATTCCTGAAATACTGAGTTTTACTATAATAATAGTATTCTAAATAAGAGTTCCAATCACAGATATAATAAATATGAAATAAATCTTATTATTATATTACAAAATATTTATTATGTAAATATAATCATGTTTTATTATTATATATATATATATATATATACATTATATCTTAAAATAACTTAACTTTAATAACATTTTCTATGGCTTGTATGGTGTAGCCCCAGATGTTTGTTTTTTTTAGTTCATTATCAGCTGTGTAAACAATGTTCAGAAAACATGTTTATGCAGATGTTGTAAAACTTTTATTTTTATTTTTTTACAGATGTGTTTCCATTTCAGCATTGGGGAACAGCTTCTCAAATGCCTTTGCACTGTTTATGTCTGTCTCATTTTATAAGATGATGCCCGTTCCCCCACGTACAAAGGAACAGTAAAAAATAAACATACAAAAAAACAAAAACATAAGAGGGGCCCTTCATGGTTTGAAAGAGACTTTAACACACATGTCTGATGTCTGACAGAATGAAGCCATGCAGCCAGACAGAACCAGGAGAGAGAAAGTTTGCGGCCCCTGGCCAAATAACAGTTTACTGTTAAGCTCCCCCTCAGTGAGGACCCCTCACCCTCACACACACAAACTAACACTCCTTAGCATGCTCTGAAAGGACTTTCAGTAATCTGCTTGGTAGACTTAACAAAATCAGCTCTTGGATAATATGTGCATTCTCTGTAATCATTTTTTGTTTGTTTTTTTATGTTGATGTTGACAAGAAGTTTTTGCAGCTGCTTCAACAAGAAGAGGAGGTCCTCATGGCAGATTCCTGCGTCCCGCTGTGTGCACTCACACACTACATACAGAGCACAATGGCACATGGCTTTCCCGTCTAAAAGGCTTTAATTACTCGTGTTGATGAATCTGGGGAAGACTGCTGGCTTTGTTTCTTGCCTGAGCTCTGAACTGGATGGTCAGTTTCCAGGGTTACTCTGCATGAAAGGAGGTGCAAAAACAAGTGGCATAGAGCAAATGAGAAAAGTATACTGGTCTTACTAGCTGACTGGTGAGTACAAAAAAATATTGATAGATCTCACATTTTACTTAAATGAAGATTTGCATTTGAATATTTGACCAATGTCTTTAGCAGATTTGTATCACTTTGAAAATAATAGACATTCTACTATATTGGTAAATTTGCAACTACATGTCAACTATCAGTCATCATCAGAGTATTATTAGACTGCCTGCTTAATTCTGCTAACACTTTATTTTGATGGTCGCCACACCAACTGACTATAAGTAACTTTGCAAGTCCACCAACTTATTCTAACCCCAACAGTTTACTATTCTATTAGTTGACAAATAGTTGTGAAGTTGCTTATAGTAGTAAGTAGAATGTCTAAAGTGGACCAATGAAATAAAGTGTAACCCTTGTTGTTTGTTTACTGTGATTTAAAGTGTCACTTTTGATATTTGTGCAAATTATTTGTGTACTCTTTGTGAAGATCTGAGAGATGGGGGTCTCTAAAAGAGCGCCCGCCACTGATAATGTGTCCGATGAAGGTAGCAAAAAAACCATGAAAGATGATGCAGTTCATCTCAGGAGGAGGATAGGGCTGCTGCCATCCATTTCCTTCATCATTGGCACTGTGGTGGGCAGCGGCATCTTCATCGCCCCCAAAGGCGTATTGATGAATTCGGGCAGTGTGGGATTGTCCCTGCTGGTCTGGGCTCTGTGTGGCGTCCTCTCCACTTTTGGTGAGGAACATCTTTGGTGCTTATACACTGAACAGATCAAAAGTTTTGTGTTTTTACATTTCGTTGGATTAACAATAAAAACAGCATGTTCACTGCACAATGAATCTCACTAACAGCGTGTCTAACAGAGGATTCGTGAGTTTGCAGAGCTCAGCACTGACCAAAAACTCCGGTGTTTTGAGTGGTGGGTGGATTCTGACTAAACACCTCTGATTGGCCATTGCATTCAAGAGATCAACAAACATGTCTGTGATTGGCTACATTGCTCACCGCTGCAGAAACACATTGTAAATAGAAACATTTGACGTTCTCCAGAGCACAAACACAAAGGTACTTTGCCTCTAATCTGACTCGTCTGCTGAGCTGTGGAGTTGACAAACCACACTATGTGATTGAGAAAGTTGACACGCTTTCTATCTCTGCTCTATAAATAGACAACTTTAGATACTTAGACTGACTTTAGAAGAAGAGCCTAGGATGGGCTTTTTAAATAATGCCTTTTAGGTTATCATCCCATTTCAACAATGCAGAGATAATAGTCCCAAAAAACTTTAAACCTGTCCACAACATTTTGGCCTATTCAACCAACAACGCTCTTCTGCTCATCAAGGCTACATTTATTTGATCAGTAAGAATACAGTAAAAAGAGTAATATTGTGAAAAATTACAATTTAAAACACATCATCCATTATTCCAGTCTTCAGTGTCACATCGGGTTTTTTTTAACAGTTATTTTAAATTGTAAAAATATTTCACCATATTCCTTTTTTACTATTTTTCATCAAATAAATGCAGCTTCTTTCAAAAACATTTAAAAAATCTTTATTATTCAAAGCTTTTGACTGGTTGTGTGTAGCTACTATTTTCACTTTTAGCCTATTCAATGTCAAACCAGTTTTTAAATATTGCATGTTCTCTTCAGGTGCTCTGTGCTATGCTGAGCTGGGCACAACCTTTACTAAATCAGGGGGCCATTACACCTACCTTTTGGAGACTCTGGGGCCCCTGCCTGCATTCCTGCGACTGTGGACTGAGTTCATATTCATCAGGTGTGTGTGTGTGTGCGAACAGTGTTTGGGTTTTATTGTGTTCAGCGAATTGTTAAATGTCCAAATATAATTTCAGACCTGCAGTGGCTTCCTATGTGTCTCTGGCTTTTGGCCGTTATGTAGTGGAGCCGTTTTTCTTGCCGTGTGCCGCTCCGACAGCTCTGGTTAAACTCGTCAGCGTGCTTGGAGTCAGTGAGTGCTGTTTTTTTACGATCAGCAGTGGATTACTAACGTTTAGTTTGTACAGCGAACTAAATCTGTCATGTAAAACGGTCAACTATTCTATCTATAGCGTTTGTGGTGGCAGTGAACTGCTGGAGTGTGTCTTTGGCAGCTCGTACGCAGATCTCGCTGACCTTCATCAAGATGTTTGCTCTGATTCTGATCATCATCCCGGGCATCATGGCTCTGGCCAATGGTAAGAATTGCATGCTGTATCTACTGCAATACATTATTCATTTAGGATTACTTTGGAATGTTTTCAAACAAAATCTATTCATTTTACCTGCATAAAGCTTGTTAAAAAAATGTTTTAAAATTTTCAATAGGCATGCATATTCGTGTTTATTAAAATTCAGTCCCAAGTGTGTGAGATGGGAAAGTATATGTTCAAATATATATATATATATATTTTTTTTTTAGATAAAAAAAAAAGTCTGCATAACATCTGGTGTAAATCCTCATTCGGGTCAAAACACTTTGAAAAAAAATTTCTTAAAAATATATATTTTTTACAATTAAAAATATTTTTTATTTCAGTTTTAGTGTATAAAATTAAACTGGCAACACTCTTAAATATAAATTTGACTTTTTCATGTTATTTCAGGTGACGTTTATTTTATTTCAAGTAACAAAAACTTTTTTTTTTTAAATGGTTTTAGCTTCAGTTAATAACCCCATTTTGATAATTAATTTCATTATGAGAAGAGAGTAAGGAAACTGACTTCCTATTTTCATTTTTTCTGTTTCAGGGAAAACTGAAAATTTCCAGAATGCCTTTGACTCTGATTCTTTATCTCTGACCAAACTTCCTTTGGCCTTTTATTCAGGTCTTTATGCATACGGCGGATGGTGGGTATCATGAGTGCCAAATATCTTAAAGGAAAGGATTAAAAAAAATAATGTAAAGTTTGTTTTTTCTTACAGGTTTTATTTAAATTTCATAACCGAAGAGGTAATTAACCCCAACAGGTATACAGACCTTCTTGCATTGCCAAATTGAAACCTTGACAGAATGTTTTTATGAATATATAAAGACACCTAAGATTCCTTTCTCATATATTCTTGTTAGAACCATTCCATTGGCCATCATTTTCTCCATGGTTACAGTTACCGTGTGTTACGTTCTGGTCAATGTGGCTTACTATACAATGATGACCGCAGATGAGTTACTGATATCAGATGCCGTGGCAGTGGTTAGTAGTAGTGGACCACAGACAATTTTAGAGATGAGTATTACAGGATCTAGTTTAGAGAGTAAATGTCTTGACTGTGCTGTCCTAAATGCATTGCAGACGTTTGCAGGTCGGGCTCTGCAGGGTATAGCTCCAGCAATACCCATATTAGTCGCTCTTTCCTGCCTTGGAGCTCTTAATGGAGGCTTTTTTGGTTCACCCAGGTAAGGATCTCAGAAACGTAAAGGCAAAAGAAGTTGTGCATCTAAATTTATGTTTAATAGCTTTGGCTTTGAACGGTTAAAAGATTTTGAAACTCTGTTTCTGCAGGATGTTGTTCGTGGGAGCCAGAGAGGGTCACTTTCCAGTGATCTTCTCCATGATCCATATTCGCAGACAAACACCGCTGCCAGCCGTGCTTTTTCTGGTACAGTCACATCCAGTGCTGAGTACACTTTCAAAAATAAAGGTTCCAAAAGGTTTTCACAGTTATGCCATAGAAGAACCCATTTTGTTTCCCCAAATATTTTATTGCGTAAAAAACATTTTAATCTGATTATGTAATCCAGATTACATCATCCCTCTAGCCATATCTGGTTCTTCCATGATCGTCATGTCCCTCCTGATGTTTGCAGTATCCTCTGGTCATCATCATGTTGGCAAGAGGAGAGATCTTTCAACTGATCAACTTTGCGTCATTCTCCCGTTGGCTCTTCATTGCCATGGCGACCTTGGGAATGATCATCCACCGCTACAGATTTCCAGAACATCCCAGACCGTTCAAGGTCCATTTAAATGGCTTATTAATTGATATATTAATAGGAATTTGTCACTGAATTTATTAAACATTGGTGTGACTTTCTTCAGGTCCCTCTAGCATTTGCCATGGTCTTTACCATAGTGTGTTTCTTCATCGTGGGCCTGTCCTTGTATTCGGACCCTTGGAACACAGGGGGCAGCTGTGCCCTCACCATCTCAGGAATACCTGTGTATTACCTGACAGTCAAGAAGTCATATATACCTGAACGCTGGAAAAAATCCTTCAGTAAGTACTGCAAAGCACCTTTATGTATTGAATCCATAAGCTTAACATTCATTTTAATATGATTCTTCAGTAGAATTATTCCTGGGATCAGTCAAGGCTCCAATCGCTGACCTAAACTTCATTGTGTGCAGATTATATCAGTCAACAGATGCAGATTCTTCTGGAAGTGGCTCAGCAGGAAGTTCAGACCTACTGATGGAGCATCACCAAACCAGCGAAATTCATGCGCTGAGTGTTGCGATTGGCGTCAAAGTTTTACATTTTAGTGGTGCTTGCTATAACTATTGCTCATTTTAACAAACCCCTAACCACCCTACACACTTAAAAACATAGGTTTCAATAGGGGGTTTTTACAGTGATGCCATAGAAGAACCATTTTTGGTTCCCCAACGAACCTTACAGTGATTAGTTCACCCAAAAATGAAAAAATGGTCAATTACTCACCCTCAAGTCATTCCAAACCTGTTAGACTTTTGTTAATCTTCGAAACACAAATTAATATATTTTAAATTAATTCTGAGAGATTTCTGTCCCTCCATTGACAGTCCACGCAATGACACTTCAAAAAGTTCATATAAAAATCGTAAAACTAATCCATATGAATCGATCAGTTTAGTCCAAATTTTCTGAGGATTTGATCGCTTTGTTAGGTTTTAAATCACATATAAATCTTGATCAGTGAACATAAACAGAAGCTCAACTGTACTTGCTTGATGCATAAGAACAAATGTCATTGGTTCCTGCAGAAGCTCAATCGTGCTGGGTAACACAAGAATGGACCTCATTGGTTCTTGCACATCAAGCAAACGTCCTTGAACTTCCGTTTACCATATCTGATGTGTGCGTTGATGAATGTTTATATGTGAATAAAAGCCTAAATTCAATCTGTTTATCATTTAAAGCGATTGAGTCTCTTCAGAAAATTTGGACTAAACCGCTCAATTCATATGGATTCGTTTGACGAATTATTCGTTTTTATCTTTATGAATTTTTTGAAGCGTCAAAGTGGTAGTTGTGTCCAAAGAACTTGAGGGCGAGTAAATGACAGAATTAAAAAAATGTGGGTTCTTTTAAAAGAACCATTATTTTAAAGTTGAATATTTTAATAATCAGGAGAACCTTTTTACTACTATAACCGTTTGTGCGATGAAACCGTTGATGCCAATAAAGAACCGATCCTTTTATTTTTTAAAGTATAGCGACTGCACAGCAACATCCTGGCACCCTATCAATTCCGTCAATCAACACTCACATTTTCTTTAATAAAATTCTAGTTTTTATTTAAATCAAAGAGTCAAAGACAGGAATTAAAAGTGCCCTGGATTTTTCTAATTCCCATTTAAATGCATTTTTAAAGTATCCCTTCATTCTAAAGAGAAATAGGTACAATAGGAAGAGAAACCAAATTGTATGCTTTGTTGGAAATGACGATTGTAGTTTCTGGTCAAAGCAGGTTTTCATAGCTCAGTGAAATGCCAGGTAGATAACTTTAATATTTCAAAACGATCTTCACAAGAATCACAAAACACATCCTATTATTGTTTTTGGTTTTTTTCAATGGCTGGGTCTGAACGGGACATCTTTTTATGTTACCAAAAGGTTGACTGTTGAGAAATGTCAAAGTTGATTAATAAATAGCTTCGAAATCTTACAAAAGCCAAGTATCTTGGTAATGCTTGGTAATGACAGTGACAGATTTTCAAATGTCTGTGCTTGAATGTACTTTTATATTTTTAGGATTTTGTATTTAACTTCTAATGCTCATGTGTTCTGACATTTTAACACCGTCAATCTGTCAACTGTGTAGTTTTGTATATTTATGACATCTTGCATTTTTTTTTGCTGTTTTTACATTGGAAGAATACAATATAATGAATTATATTGTGACATGACATGAATTAACAGCTACATTTGATGGTAGTCTTCTAAGCATTTGAACTCTGCATGCTTACTAATCACTCTATACATAGAAATGAACATTAAAAGCTTTGGAATGCACCAAAAATCTCTTAGAACGCTCATCTTGGTCATATCCAACATCCAGAACACAAGTGTCTTAAATTGTTCTTAATAGCAAAAATACATGAATGCAGAAAAGCAGCAGAGATGAGTCACTATTACGACATGCTTGTAACCATGAAAACACATTATAGGATGTTATAAACAGCTCGATACTCCATCTAAACGACTGGTAAATTCTACAACAGTAAAAAAGTGCAACACTTACATGACCATCTGCAATTAACTAACAAACCCTTCATTCTAAGAGAACTTATATAAGGTTTTGCATACGGTTTTATTTTATATGCCAAATTCTCTTAAAAATCTCTTTTTGTGTGTCATTTTCACCGTCAATCCATCTGGCTAAACCAAGGTATTCAAAATTATTCCAAAACAAAGAAATAATGTAAAGTTGGGTAGTGTAAATGAATTAATCTGTTAAATCTGTTTGTCCACTTGCTTATAATACACACTCTGTCTGTCTCTCTCTCTCTCTCTCTCGCTCTCTCACACACTCACATTTATATATTACAACTTGTGCAAAATAATTATCTCTAAGTACATTCGTCACTAACAGTTTTGCTCGCAAATAAAGGCCTACATATCCAAAACACAAACACGTACAGTAATAGGCAGTGAAATAGCAACATTTGTTAGCAGAGAAATTAAGAAAATACTTATAAAAATAGAAGAGATCAAAAGCAAGTAAATAAGAGTCAAAGGCAGTGAAGGAAGTTAAGCAGCTCAGATAAAGGAAGTCAGGAGTCACTTCAGCTCAGGGATAAACTGGGACCAGCTGATGTTTGCCATGCCGAGATCATCGTCCTCCAGGCCGGAGAAGCTGATATCCACTAGAATTTTACTCAAGCTGTCGTTCATGGTGTCCAGGACGAGCCCTTCGGTGAGAGAGCGGTTGGCGATGCCCACCTGCAGCAGCTCTCTGGAGCAGGCCGGGGTGGAGCGTCTCGGGGAGGGTCGGGCACAGGTGAGCAGCTCTCGAGGGGAGTTGAAAAGCGGCAGCTCCTTAAACGGTGTGCTGTTAAAACTGAAAGGTGTGTGTTCGTGCCGCTGTGGGGTGAGCTGTGGCCCACTGGGCGTTCGAATGGGGCTAAAGTCCAGCACACCTCCCTTCCCGACAGGAGTGATCCTCCAGGGCTCCAGCACTGTGGGTGGCTTGCTGGGAGTAGATGAGGAAGGGTGGCTGCCCTTGATGGGCGTTTTAAAAGTGTATTCTCTGTTTGGGCTGTCAAAGTCGGGTTTACAGGTGGGCAGGGGCTCCGGATCAGGCTCCGCCTCCTGAGTGTCTTGGAAGGTGGAGACGTCAGAGACAACGCCTGAGTCGAAGAGAGTGCTGTCGGGGTAGAGCAGGACGGGTTCCTCAGTGGCTGGCCGGACCAGGCGTTGTTTGCGGCGGGAGCTGCTGTTTTCTCGCTGTCTGGTTTTGGGGAGCGGAGCTTCGGACGCCACAGGAGTCAGAGACACACACACAGGCTCCTCCTTTACCTCCTGAGAGGCGGGATTACACAGCATCACCGAGCTCACGTCACTCTGCGAGACCTTACATGACACACATTCGTTAAACACGAAATGCTTTCCTCAAGAAATGAATTCTCTGTTGTAAAAGACCATAAAGTTGAATTCTGAACTACCATCAACCATTTAAGGCCCAGGTATACTTCATTTCAATTAACACGCGTACTATGTGTATAGGCCTATAATTTGGGGGGGATCAGGTAGCCGCTATTAATATGTGAGGTATTGAAATCGGTTTTGAATGTGCGCTCACTTTTAACGTTTGCGATCACGCATACTCGTGTGTACAGGGAGTGGCGATACTGACTGCTCGGACAAAATCGGGCTGCACACGAATGGTGTGAGTGGACGTCCGTGGACCCTCCCGATGACGAAAATCACATCACGTGGACTGCTAAAGTATACTTTGGGCTTTAGACTAGCTTCTATCAGTTGATGACCATACATGACCAGCCCGATAGCATGTAAACCATCTACCATTTGGTTTTAGGTGGATTTTCAGGTGGATAGGGTTGGATGTATTGATTTCCAATTAATTGACCATTAATTAATTACCATAATACTCAAAAAATATCATTCAAATTTAATTCAATGTGTTCCTTGCCATCTCTTTGTGTAATTTACTAGAAATTTCTGAATGAAAATTGTTTCAAAGTAAATCCTACCTCAAATCTCTCTCTCTCTCTCTTTCTCACACACACACACACACATATAGGTTTTTACCTTAGGAGCAATCCGGACCCTCTTGCTGGAGCTGGGAATGGAAGCGATTTGAGTGTGTGGAGGAGTGGCGAGAGACACGGGACTGGAGGTGGGCAGGAAGAGTGACTGACCCAAAGGAAGCTGGATGGGAACCAGGTACGAGTCAGTCCGAGGCAGAAGAGGCTTCATCTTTCTCTCTGAGGGCGAGCGGAAATAAAGGACCGTCAGGAAACAGACTCCAGTGCTCTGAGTCATTCATCTCTCTCATCCAGCCCAACACTCACCTGTGCTACCGGCGATGGGTATCGCTTTCTTCACCTCCGGAGGACCTCTCTTCTGTTGCTACGGGAACAAAGAGGATTTGTTTACATTTGTTCAAAGTGTGACGTTCAAAATAGCTACGGCGTCAAGGCTGTCTGTCTTTCTAAGGAATCTTAGATGATAAAAGGAACAAAACAAGCGATGATCTCGAGCTGAACATGCTTCCTTCTGTCTGTCTGAATCTCCCTGAAATAAAATAACTGATTCCTGTAGAAGTTGAAAGGCTGGTCCCTGTCGATCTGCCCGTGAGAGGATGACTTAGAGTACGAAAGGGGATCTTACTTGATGGTAACCAACTTGTGTGGTCTGAGGGCAAGTGGGGGTCACTGGGTCAACCAAAGGCTGTGGGATGAGCCAGGAAATGAGAGATGACCACATTTGAAAGGATAAAATCGCATATGGACAAAAGCAGCACTGTAAATGACTGAGATATAATAAAGCGAGAGTGTGATTTGTATTAATACACACCTTGTAAACCTGGTCCAAAGTGAGACAGCGGTTTGCTTCCGGTCGAATCGTCCAATAGGAGATCTTGCCATCAGGAGACGTTTCACGGACAAACATGTCATGCAGTGAGAGATTATGACGTATGGAATTCTAATAATAATAATAATAAAAAAACAAAAACAAATCACTCTCAGACATCATTTATTAGAAATTTTTGTAAACTGAAAATGAATTAACTTTACACGTTACCTTCCATCCGGGTTTTGCGACATTTCTGAAATACGGAAAATGGTCTTCGATCCAATTGTAAATTTCCTTCAGGGTCATGTGTCTGTTATTCTTGCTGTTGATAGCAAACTGGATCATTGCCATGTAGGAATACGGGGGTCTCTCGGACAGAGGGTTCTTCTCCTTTTCTGGACATTTGGGCAGCTGAATGAAGAGGAAAGAAACAAACAATTTTATAAAATGTCATTCTAAAAAAGCAAACCATTAGGGGTATAACGATTCGTTCGATACACGACGACACTAATGTCATGATACTTCAAACATAGAGTTAAAAAATAGTGCTTTTTTTAAAACTACTACTTCTAACACATATTGTAAACATTTAAAGGGATAGTTCACCCAAAAAGTTTAATTCTGTCATTAATTACTCACCCGTATTTCATTCTAAACCAGTAAGACTCTGAAGATCTTTTTGAGGAAATCTGAGAGCTTTCTGCCCTTCATTGAACTACCGCTTTGATGATGAACAGACTGAATTTAGGCGTTTATGCATATATAAACATCCATCAACTCACACATCAGTTGTGGTAAACAGAAGCTCAAGCATGCGAGAACGTGCAAGGACCAATGAGGTTCATTCTTGTGTGTTACGCTGAACTTCCGCATGTGAATAAAAGCCTAAATTAAATCTGTTCATCCAAAAGATCTTCATTAGTGTTCCGTAGAAGATAAAAAAAAGAGTCTCACGGGTTTGGAAGGACATGAGGTGACTAAATGATGACAGAATTTTTATTTTGGGGTAAACTAACCCTTTAAAATAGTTTATTCAAAACATTTTCATAATACTTGTTTATAAAACGTGATACATTTTTAAAAAATAGAACATTTGCAATAGACAATAGATTTTCATTTCATGCCGTCTTTAATGTTGTGTAGCCTACCTGATTACAATCACTTGGATTGTCCTTGCTAGGGCATTTTTGGTTCGATTCCGGTCCGAGTCCATCAGAGCTCATTTTTCCCAGCCACTGGATGTTCGTCAGACTATCATCAAGCGGGTAGCACTCAGTCTCCTTTTTCACTATTATCATGGGGTAAACAACAATTCAAAAAAAGTCATCTTACATTCTTCACAACATCAATAACTTGCAAACATGCTCTTAGTCATATCCCTCACCTTTCCCAAGATCAGCCCCGGGTTCTGTAGAAAAACACCCAAGGGTTTTGCTTTCCTCTGAACTGGTGCTGCCACTGAGCAGGATGAACTTGTTTCGGCCCTGAGGCCCGCACTCCTTCCCTTTGGCTGTCAGGGCGCTGATGACACTCTGCAGATCGGCTGCTTTCGGTATCACCACCACCTGTGTGTCCAGCATTGTGGGGTGGTCCATGATGCGGATGCCATCGGGGAAGCAGCGGGCGGTGGATGGGGTCCTGGTCTGGGTGGTCTTGGAGCGCGGCCCATCTGCCTCATCGCAGCCTCCATCAGATTCACTCTTCTGAAATGGCAGCTTCCTCCTCTTCAGGATGATGGGTCTCCTCGGGCTCTCTCTCATTGTTTGCTCACAGCAAATGGATCTGTCTGATGCCTGTCTAACAACATAAACCATAAAATGTTATACGTTTTTAATTATAAATACAGTGTATAGGAACTAAGTTACTCGACTACAAAAACTGGAAGCTTCGCTACAGTTGCGCGAAGATGAATCATACAAACAACAAAATAACAATACATCTTGAATCAAAAGCAGATTAAGTGTCAAAACAAATGTGACACATTTGTGAAAATATAAATCAAATATATAGAAATATCATATATTTGCAGATCATGTCCAAATGTACCGATAAGAAAGTCTGTTGATAAAACGTCTTTTTGTCCAACGACTCTTCAATGACGAATCTAGTTCTAGAATATAAAATACCGTTACAAACTGATTACTTTCAATCTGATGTACTGTATTGTTGTAATTGTTATTATAATGACGACAGATCATTCCGAAACAAAAGTTTTTGTGCAATGCAAGGTCTGTAAAAATAATTTGCTTTTATTTTTTTATTTATCTATAACGTTATTCGCTTAGATCGATGTTTTAAAACACATTAAAGATTATTATTTTCTTAAAATGAATAGAAATAATTAATACACTTAATTATTAAATTGTAAACGATCTTCCTTTATTATCTGACATGCGGCCTAGTGATTCGTCTAACGTTAACTAACCTACTGTACACCTACTGTTTAATTCATTAAAAATAAGACACATATCAAATAATGCGAAGCGGATCAAACCTTCATATCATGTCAGCCGTGCAGACGATGGTTTATTCGAGTTAATCTGGCAGTGCTGAGAGGTCAAATGTATTTTGATGGGGTAAATGAAAGACTCCGGAGTCCGGAGACTCTTGTGCGCATTTGGTGAGATTTTGAATTTTGGCGCAGAGCGGTACAGCTTTGTCACGTGATCACGCAGTGCCCAATGGAGACTACACATGGGCGGAGACATCGAGTGTCGAGTGTCGCTGTTTTCTACTGTGCAGTAAGTTATAATCCTTTAGGGGGCGATCGGCGGCCCGGATTGACAAAGTCTAAAATTGTATTCTATTGAAACATTCACCAATTCTATGAATTTCTACCACATTTCTTGGATGTAAACCTACTACCGCAATTTAAAAAAACCTAATTCAATAATCACAAACGAATGCGATTGATCCGCTGAGAAAAGTAACACAGTTTATGTAGTCTGATCTATTTTTGATGATATCTGATTAATGTTTCGTCGGTCTGGTCAATATTTTACACACTGATTAAAAATAATAATGGAAATTTAAAAAAAGCCCACAATGAAGAATTATAATACTAAATACTATTTGGAATCATCCTACTTGACCAATCAAAACAACGTCCGGGCCACTAAGTCCCGCCTCTTGTGGTACTCCATTATTAGGCTAGCTAACATTCATGAAGCCACTTCTAGTTCTTCTGTTGGAGGGACAGGACTGTGTGAATGGGGGATGGACGTTCCCACAAACACTCAGACGGTTTATCAAACTCTTTGTCAAATTTACATGGTCCAAAGAAAAAATACAATGCGAATGAGAAGAAGAAATACAAAGCGAAGCGTGAGTATCATCTAAGGTTTCATTCCATGCCATGTATTTTATCCACGTGCGAACTTTCTCTATAGTTCAAAGTATTGCAACCTGTATGTCGAGGAACAATGCATGAAACATATGATAACATGCTAATTATATTAAATAAGACGTTTTGCATGAGTATTAAGGCTTTTAAGGCCCCTAAATGTTTTATTAGTCAGTATCTGTCTTACAAGGTGTCTTCCTGCGTGACTGGACTGCACTACATTGCACTGCCAGAAGAACAGTAATAGTAGTAACGTTAGTAGTTTTCTCTACCTCATTTGATCTTGTTTTCATTTGAATGCAGCATATCATGTCTTCTAATGCCACGCACTTCACATAAGAAGAGACTGTTGAACCCGCACAAGTCTCAGCTGTTGTTTGTAGAGGCGCCCATCAATGGACCAAAGCATGAATATGGACCACAACTACGGAGCGCCATTCATCCCAGGTCATTTATATCTGAAAAACAACAGCAAAGTGGTGCACCATGTACCTCTTGGGTATGTGCATGCTTTGCAACCCTTACTTTTATGTTGTGAGTGAATACTTTTTTTTAAATAAACTGATGCATATTCTTTGTTTATAGGTGTCTCCACAGTTTAATTCACTTGAGACCACGACGGTTAGTCGAGGGAAGAGAGCTAACAAGGCAGGTACGAAAATCACAAACAAGGTGTCAGTTTTGGGTTTACCTCCGGCTAGAAAAACAAGGGGCTGCAAATATACTCCCTTGTCCTTTAATGCAACCACAGGACGTGAAAACCTTCGTAGTTCATGGACGAAGAATGATTGGCTCGTTTCTTCAGACAGCCATCGCAAGGAACTTCAAGAAACCTCAAGAAGAACTCAGTTTCCTCGAAAAGGGGTGGAGAGGAAGATGGCTGGACGTATTACATCTGCTACCTCCAGGCGTACATGCGTTTCATTCCGTAAAAATGGAAATGGAATGAATAAAGCTTCCATTCACACACCCAACACAAGCACAGTTCCAGATCCACCAAATGTAGAGACGCCAGAAATGCCACACTTTTCCAGCACTTCTCCAACCAATGTTCAACATCTCCTTTTCTCCTCAAATCAGGCAAAAACTCCTCCACGAACCGAGAACACAAGCATCCTGGTGAAGGACACGCCTGAGAAAGACTATGGGCTGAGGGTAACATGGAGACGAAGGAAAGGACTGATGAAATTATTGATTGACAAGGGTCAGCTTCTTCTGACAGATACAGAAGTTACCAATGAGTGAACATAGACCACGAGTTAACCGAAACAGTACATTTTTTATTGTCAACAAAAAAAACTTTTTTTGTTTTGTTGTCAATACTGAGTTGATAAGATTTGGGAAATCGTGACTTACAAATGTGATGATTTAATATATGGACACTTTAGAAGTGAAGAATTAAAGATGTAATTTTGACATCCCCAGCCTTATTTAATGGAAGCACCTTTTTATTCTTTTGGACATCAGTGTATTATTTACTTAAATTTATTTTCCAAATGGTATTTGTATACATTTGTGTGTGCAAGAATAATCTTTAATATTTTTATATTATCAATATTTTTGTTAAAGGAGAAAGTCTAAAATTTATTTATAAAATAAATAACTAATTAGTAAAATATAAGATAAAAAAAAATATATATATTTGGTCTAGGTAATTACCATGCATCCATTTGTGATATTTCACAGTCTTGACATTTAAAGGGGTCATGACATAAGAAATCAAATTTACCTTGAACTTTTGAACTTCATACCATTAAAACATCCTGCAAGTTTAATAGCATATAATGTCCTCATTATAAACAAAGCATTTATTTAATTAAAGGGGTTATGACATGAGAAACCAAATTTGCCTTCATCTTTTGGTATATAAGAGGTCTTTGTACCATTACAACGTCCTGCAAGTTTCATAGCTTAAGACGTCCTCCCCATTATAAACGAATCATTTATTTAATCAAGCTCTAAATACAGCTCGTTCTGGGTCCATGCAGAGCCATAGAGAGAAAGAGTTGCGACACTCCCATAGACCGCCATAGGAACTTTGGAATGCGGAAGTAACGCGTGTCGTGGAGCAGCCAGACAGTATAAGAAGGGAGCAGCCGATAGTTCCAAACACTGATAGTTCCAGCATTGAACCCCATTCATTTTCAGTGCTTCCGAACGAAGTACGGTCGCTGGTAAATTAAAGGGGGTGTGAAATGCTATTTCATGCATAGTGAGTTTTTTTTACACTGTTAAAGAGTTGGATTCCCATGCTAAACATGGACAAAGTTTCAAAAATTAAGTTGTACGTTTGATTGAGTATTTCTGTTCTCAAAATACTCCTTCTTGGTTGTCACAAGTTTCGGAAAGTTTTTTTCGAGTATGGGCTATAGACTGTAAAAAAGGTATGGGCGCGTATGACGTCAGATGCGCCGGAATTTCCTTATACGGTCCTAAGGGCACTTCTCTCGGAAGGGCGCGCGCGCAGCTGTAGAACGATAGCCGTAACCTATGCCCATCATAGCGCTGTGCATCGGCTGCGCTGCAAATATGTCACCAAAGAAGTGTGTTTTCGGTTGCCAAGGCAAGACAACACTGCACAGATTCCCAAAGAATCAAGCGTTAAGGGACCAGTGGATGGAGTTTGTTTTTCCAGAACATCAACACAGTTGTGCAAGTGTTCTTGTTTGTTCCATGCATTTCGAGGATGATTTTTTTATAAACAAGGCCCAGTTCGAAGCCGGATTTGCTAATCGTTTAGTTCTCAAGGATGGAGCAGTCCCAACACTAAAGGTTAACGGTCTTGCATTGGAACCGCAGGCGGTGAGTAGAACTGCTTCAAATATCTGTGTGTCTATCGGCGTGTAACTTAGACGTGTAGCACAGCAAGTAGGCTAAACAACATGATCACGAATAGTTAATGTATCTATGGAGCATGCGATGTATGTTGTGTGTTTGTTTAAATACATTTGTTTAGGTGGCTACTGTAGGTGTCTGTTTGTTTATTGTAAAACCAAATCATGTCTTCATAATCCACGAGTAGACACACAAATGTTCTAAAACTTCGCGCGCTCGTGATTATTTAGCTCCGCCCACACGGCACGCCTCCACCCGCTCGGCTTTTTCCGGAAAGACTCGGTACAGCCTATCTTTCTTTTATAAATATAATAAAACTAAAGACTTTTTGGAGATATGATGGATGCAATATTACTCTATAGGTACTCAAGATTAACATGAGATTGACTGAAACTGAGTGTTTCACCCCCCCTTGTTCTGTACATTTTAAGGATGACTGTTTTGAGAACAAATCTCAATATGATCCTGGCTTTGCCAGAAAACTGTTGCTCAAAGATAATTTCGTGCCGACTATTCTGGGAACAACGACGACGCAAACTGTAAGTAATGTATTTTAAACTTTAAACTACTTTTAAAGTGCAATGTCATTCATTATGAATAATCACAGTGTTTTTACTTAGTTTACTTGCATATTGTTTTCAGAGATCGCCATGTTCAGGCCCCCTATCAAAAGATGTTGGATGTCAAACTGACCAACCCACTCAAACATCTGTGGGCACACAGCTGTCGTTTCAAACCATGAGACCCAAGTATCATAGCAAAGGTATTATTTATATAATTATTATTTATAATATTATATTATTTATTATTTATAACTTGTGTCATCATAATTCTATTTATAAGAAGCTTAAACGTTTATTGCCTTAAAGGAAGTATTTATAGTCCATATTTTTTAGAATACTGCAATTACAATTGATAGAATAAAACTTTACATTGTATTTTCTAACGTTATAGAAACACAAACAGAGCAGTCCTCAAATCTTTCAAGTGGTGATGTCGCCATACCCTGGAGTACTTCACCGCCTTTTACCTCAACACCTTTAAAAGATGAACGGCCTGCCAAAAGCCGTCGCTGTGAATTGGAGGGTGAAGAAAGTGTGTCTTTTGAAGAAGTCTGTGACACTAAGGATGTAACATATGACCCTGCTCAGTCTGTCACCAGTGTGACTGAACCATCAAAGCATTCGTAAGTTTTTTGTCTTTATCATTTTAAGTTTAGCATACATTTATGTGAACTGTATGTTTTACTGACTCGTAAAACTGATTATGTTGAAAAAAAATACACTACCTTAATTTTTTGTTATTCATTTTCTCTTGTCATAGCATGTACACATCCAAAGCCTCTCATGAAGACACCAAATATATTGTGTTTGAAAACTGTCTTCTTGAACTGTTTGAGACCTGTCCAGTATGTTCAAGAGCCTGCAATATTCAGCCTCGTAGCAATGGGACTTTTTTGGCCATTCATCAACTTTGCCCACATTGTGAGTACTTCAGACAGTGGAAGAGTCAACCCTGTGTTGGCAGTACCCCTGTTGGTAACCTCCAGCTGTCTGCTTCCCTGTACTTCTCTGGAGCTTCATTCTTCCAGATGAAAAAGGTTTGTGGTTTTTTTTTTTTTTTTTTTTGTTTAAAATAGTTTAAATGTATAATGCATAATTATTGTTTTTCTTTTGAAGGTATTTGAGTCAATGCATTTGAAGATGTTCAAATACAGAACCTTCAGAAGGCATGCCAGCATGTACCTGGAACCACTAATAATATATAAGTGGAAGAAGGAACAGGTGGATTTAGTGAAGGATCTCTGTGAGGCGGACAAGGTGATAATTGGTGGCGATATGAGAGCTGATTCGCCAGGTAAAGAGTCATGCTTGGTGATGCAAGTTCTTCTGCAGTCTTAATAATTTGTTCCTGTGTAAACTATTTTCTAAAATATTATTTGTATTGTGACATTTCAGGCCATTCAGCAAAGTATGGGAGCTACACCACAATGGATCTTCAAAAGAACCTCATAATAGACATCCAGCTAGTGCAAGTGAGAAAATGCATTGATCACATCATGTCAATGCACACAAAATTACCAGAAAAAAAGTGGCAACAGAGTATGACTTGCCTGTTTCAAATTAAACTATTCTAAATTATAATTGTATTATAAATTACAATTGCTATTTATAATAAACCATTTTATACTTCAAAGATGTAGTCGGATATGATTACTGTTTTAAAGGAATGAAATAACTGACTTTCACTGCCCTGATAACTATTTTTTCACAGAGTAATGAGGTCGGTGGTAGCTACCACATGGAGAAAGAAGGGTTAAAACGAAGCCTGGAAATGCTGGAGGAACGTGGTGTAAGGCTAGACTGCATTGTGACAGACCGACATCCCCAGATTCAAAAGTTTCTGAGAGAACGAAACATCACACAGTACTATGATGTCTGGAATTTGGAGAAAGGTACTTTTCGAGCTTTCTTGTCTGTCTGGTGGTTATAACTGTACTTAGTAAAGATTCAGAAAAAAACATTTCATGTTAATAAATGGACAGGTTTTTTTTACATTACATAAACAATATTTCTTCTAGGGTTGTCAAAGAAGTTAGAGCAAATTGCCAGAGACAAGGACTGTTCAATAGTGAAAAAGTGGCAGCACAGCATAAGAAACCATCTCTACTGGACTGCAGCATTCTCTACTTCTGGACCAGAGAAGGTAGCCAAGTGGAAGTCCCTCATCAATCACATTCAGGATGTTCACATCCATGATGATCCATTATACCCACAATGTGAACATTCACATCGAGAGTCTAAGGGCAGCAGTAAACACTTCAAACCTGGTGAGTGCATAATATTTCATATTATTACCATTACCATTCAAAGTGGCTGACTGTTATTCATCTGTGTCCCACAGTGTTAATACTGTTTCCATTGTCCTTCACACAAATTCATACATACTACTATTCCAGGTTCAAAACCACTTTACAGAGTCGAAAAGGTGCTGACTAACAACAGAGTCCTCAAAGATGTAGCAAAGCTCAGCCCTCACTTCCAGACCTCATCCTTGGAGGCCTTTCATAGTGTTATTTTACGCTTTGCCCCCAAAAGTGTGGTATTTCCTTTTATTGGAATGCTGTGCAGGTATGCAATGTAAATTGTATAGAAGCATCTTATTGACATTTAATGAACCATAAAGTCATATCATTTCATATTTGTATTTAATACAGGGAGCCTAGCATACGCTATAACGTAATTTGAAAAGCAGTTATAACTTTTCGAATGCTTTGTCATTTCTTATTATTTTAAATTTATCTTGTAAAAATAACACTGTGTCACTCCTACTTTTTAGTAACTACATGTTTTTTTCTGTTGTTTTAGGTTGTATTTGGCTGGCATGCATTTCAATGAAAATTCTAACCGTCCAAAGGCAACTACATCATCTGGAAAGCCAATGTACAGACTTTTGTTCCCCAAGGCTAAAAAAGGATTGTACACCACAAAACCAGTGACATCCAACCCAACGTACTGTAAGTTTGAATAGATGTTTTAATTAGTAATTTACAAAAAAATAAAAAATAAATACAATACACACAAAGTGCATAGAACTTAATTTACAGTGTAAAAAAAAAAAACTTCCAGGCTACGTCTACAATCTGATGACACTGCTGTTTGAAAAGGTTCTGTCAGATCCTTTTCCCTACATGGAGGAGCTGCATAAAATTACAGTGCCTGACAGTCTATGCACACAGTATGACAGGCCTTCATTGGAGGAGGCCATTGCTGAGCATGTGTCAAGGTTTAGTCAAGGGGCAGTTTGAATCCGACATAGCTGCCTTCCGCATCTGGGAATTTTTGCCGTATACACAGGACAACACATGATGGTATTACAACCCTGATCTTTCTGCCTAGATAGCCCCTGCACCAACTGACAAAGCTTCTGTAAGCCAAATGCCTGTAGCGCCTGATGGAAACAGAGAAAAGACATTCAAAATTATACATTCTAAAGCCTCGTACACACCGGGACGAGTATCGGCGCGCGTTATTCGCCAGCGTTTTTCAACGCGTTTTTTGTGTTCACACCCAAGCGATTTTCGCTGACGATGAGCCGAGTGGACATGCAAATTCATTCCCTGACATTAGATGGTGCCCATTTGCTCAGCCATACCACTCCATAACATTCTCTTTTATTAAGATTTAGATGTAGTCGCTGTCGCGTTTGTCATATAGTTCTTTATGTTCCGACACCAACGAGACCAGCAGCTCTACATTCATCTTGCCTTGCATCTTCCTTGTCTTATTTCTTCCAGTGTAAGCAGTGTATTTCGGCAGTGTAGACGCTACTTGGCGTATATCTTCTTCGCCGTTACGTATGTGTGCTCTGCAAGACCGTTTTGTGTTTGAGCGCCCCCAAGTTGTGTTTTACTGTAACTTCAGAAGCTCCAGACACGTGAGCAAAAGCGCCAATCTCATTGGTCGGATAGTTTTTGACGCGGCGCGTCAAACCAAAAAAACGAACCCGAGGCGTTTTTTTTAAAAAATGACGCTTTTACGCGTGCCGTTTTTCGCGTCGGTGTGCACACTCACATTGACGCCCTTTGTTTAGTCACGAGGCGTTAAACGTCGGCGAATATCGCGCGTGAAATTCGTCCCGGTGTGAACAGGCCTTAAAGCCTCGTACACACCGGGACGAATATCGGCGCGCGTTATTCGGCAGCGTTTTTCAACGCGTTTTTTGTGTTCACACCCAAGCGATTTTCGCTGACGATGAGCCGAGTGAACATGCAAATTCATTCCCTGACATTAGATGGTGCCCATTTGCTCTGCAATACCACTCCATAACATTCTCTTTTATCAAGATTTTTGTAGTAGCTGTCGCGTTTGTCATATAGTTCTTTATGTTCCGACACCAACGAGACCAGCAGCTCTACATTCATCTTGCCTTGCATCTTCCTCGTCTCATTTCTTCCCGGCAGTGTAGACGCTACTTGGCGTATATCTTCTTCGCCGTTATGTATGTGTGCTCGGCAAGACAGTTTTGTGTTTGAGCGCCCCCAAGTTGTGTTTTACTGTAACTTCAGAAGCTCCAGACACGTGAGCAAAAGCGCCAATCTCATTGGTAGGATAGTTTTTGACGCGGCGCGTCAAACTAAAAAAACGAACCCGAGGCGTTTTTTTAAAAATTACGCTTTTATGCGTGGCGTTTTTCGTGTCGGTGTGCACACTCGCATTGACGCCCTTTGTTTAGTCACGAGGCGTTAAACGTCGGCGAATATCGCGCGCGAAATTCGTCACGGTGTGAACAGGCCTTAAAGGTGTTTTGGAAAGTGTTGTGTGTGTGTATATATGTCAAAACTATTGTTATTTGAATATAAATTTTGTTACATTAAATATTTATAATCCATATTAACATAAAACAATTGTGTATGTCAGATTTCTTACTGGTGTAACCCTTGAAGTCTCAAAGGACCATAGTCTGCCCTGTAAATGTTATGTGCATTCTGTAACGAATACAAATTTAGGCAAACAGGTTTAAGTCCCGGGTGATAATTCATACAGGTAGGTGGTACTGGTGCCTGGTTAATTCTTCTGACAACCTATTGAGAAGGCTATTGAGTTTACAATTGTAGTCCAACATGTAATACTCAAACATGCAGATTAACATTATTATTATTATTTGTCTTTCATTATGTGCACATACTTCAGGGGTCTCCATGCAGCATTTATGTTCTTGCTCAGTGGGCATTGCACCACAATTGCACCTGTGAATGTTTAAAGCAATCAAAAATGTGTTTGATATGACACCTTTTTATGTAGAATTGTCATTTTAAGGGTATTTACAATATTACTTTTTATCACTGGCTAATATAAACACATTTGTATAAGATAATCTTGAAAATATGGAGCCTTTCTAGTAGGCCTACATGTGATAGAAAATTAAAAATGTTGCCTTATCAATGCTGCATCTTCAAATATGGCCTGTGCATGCATTTTTGTCCGTGGTACACCCTATCATTTCATTGAAATTAGTTAAATGTTAAACTGTTAGCAAATTATTCAACAATAATCCGTTTTCAAGTGTATCGGGTTAAAAATTTTTTTTATTAATTCAAAATAGTACACTTTACATGTGGACACGGGCTGATCCAGTCTTCGTTGTTGTGTTGATGATTCATTTTCCTCTGATTCCGGCTCAAACACCAGGCACGGCGCCAGGATTCCAGGTTTGGATGGGCCAGACCAATTGTGGGTGGGCGGCGGGCCTTAAATTAAAAACGTTATCCAATCACTGTTTAACCTAATAAAAATTACTGACTAATATATCTGTACGTAGGCTAGATTTTAATAGCTTGATGCTCTTTAAATATTTTGTTGCATTGTTACAAAGTTTCGGTGCATATGGAGTCAGGACGGACCTATCCGCGATCGCTCTCCTTGGTCCTGACCAAAGAAGAGCGCTTTGGAATCTCCATTACGCATCATACCTGGGCTGCGTTTCCCGATAAAAGAAAAAGCGGTGTTCTTTATAAAAGAAGCACTTCAGAAAAAGTTGGAATTGCATTTATTAGGACTCATGGTATAGGCAGAGGCGCGGGCGCCCTCCTAGCAACGGCGCTGGGCGCGCTAGCAGCGATAGTCGTAGCGGGTGGCAGAGACGAAGATGTGCTAGGTGATGTGGATCTCAGCTTTCCTTCATCTCCTGGTTGCAGCGATGACTCAGAGACTGTATGTGCGCGTTTAAGGTACCTAAACAACGACTGTTGCAACATTGTCCTTTACTGGAAATTATTTTCACACTTTCACAAGGTAATGATAAGCGCTGACGCTGCAATATTTCTGGAGACATGGAGTGGGTAAAACATTTTTTGACCACTTGAGTTTTGTTTTGTAGAAAGACTTTTTTTTTTAAAGATTTTCGTTTCGTATAAATTGTATCTTAATTTTGATCAAAGTTTTATCAAGCAATTGCCCGTATTTAATAAATAAGAAGCACTATATAGCAGACAATGTAATAAGGCGCCGGCACGATCACTTATTGCACGACAACTGGAGCATGTTTCCGCCACAGAGTAAAAAATACAAAATGTAATTGCGATTTTTTAATCTCACAATTCTGACGTTTTATCTCAGAATTACATGATAAAGTGGCAATTGCAGGTTAGCTATAAAGTCAGAATTGCGTGATATAGGCCTAAAGTCGCAACTGTATGTTATTAAGTCAAAATTGCGTGATATAAAGTGCGAGAAATATAGCTTGAAATTCTGACTTTTTTTTCACAGAATTACATGTTTATATCTCGCCATTCTGACTTTATAATACGCAATTGAGAGATATAAAGGCAGAATTGCATGATATAAAGTCCCAATTGCGTGTTACAAAGTCAGAATTGAATTGTGAGATATAAACTATTCTGGGGTAAAAATAAAAAAAGCAATTGCGACTTTATTTCACGCAATTCTGACTTTATAACACGCAATCGCGGCTTTATTTCACGCAATTCTGAGTAATAAAGTGTGAGATGTAAACTCGCAATTGTGAGATAAAAAGTCGCAATTATCTTTTAAAATGTTTTATTCTGGCGGAAACAAGCTTCCATAGTATACTATAGCCTATAGCCTGTCCTATTTAAGTAGCCTAATTAAATTAATATAAAGGGGCGATTTGCCCACTAATGGCTTAAATGAACAACTTGGGGGAAAAAATAGTCGGAGGCCTTATTCCACATATCTTGGAAGTTCGAGCCAGGAAGCCATTCTGGGTTGAGCGCGCGACCCTGAGGAATGAGTGAGCAGAGCGGAATATTCAGAAATGCGCTCTCTGCTCACATGCTCTGATCGGAACAAACCCGAACACTGTCTGCTGAACTTGCGCAGAAACATCAAAATAGACATAACCAGCTTTTTAAAATTGTTTTTAAAACTAAACATTTAGACTATTTTAGCACAAATTATGTGCTTATTGGCGATTTTTTTTATAATTATTGACAAAACATTTTTGAAGAAAAGTTTTGGGTGGGCCTGTTGAAAAGTGGGTGGGCCTAGGCCCGTCAGGCCCACCCATAACGCCGTGCCTGAAACATACTACTAAGCAGTTACGCTGAATCCGCAAATGTCCTGGCTGGGTGCGTCAATAATTGATGCATAGGCAGATTAGGCACTGAAGTTAGATGAACATAACAGTGGGCGTTAACACTGAACTCTTAAAGGGGAAACACCCCCCAAACAGACTGTTTGAATCAGAGGATGAGAAACAGGGTGGGAAAAAGTCATAAATCACTACATTTTAAAAGTTTTTTGTAAATAAAACTATAGTAATACTATAATTGCACCTAAGGGAACATAATAATAAAATAAAAAAAACCATGTCATGACCCCTTTAAGCTAAAAAAAACCCGTCTTGTTTTGATATTGAGGGATCTATGACATCAAATACATTTGCACATGACTGCCTCCAGAGCAGGACATTGATAAATAGTTATACGTATATCATCACCCACTGGCATTCAGTCGCTTAACGACATGACACTTATCTACACTGGATATGAGCGTTGTCACATTAAAATCAAAAAGAACCTATTACAATCACTGATGCTGTCTACACTGGATACAGTAGACAGATGCACGTTCAGTTTCTGACATGCTTCACACACTTGAGTCTGTCGACAGGACAAATGGATGAATGAAGGAATATTTGTTTTTGTGTGTCCAGTTTAAACAGCTTGTTTGCGTCAGTGCAGACACAATCCCAGTGTCAAAAACAAGTGGATGGTTTATTTTAATGGCTTCCTGGATTGCCCGGAGCATTTTGTTTTGTAAACAAGGCACAGTGTAATGAAGAATTTGAAAAAAAAAATGTAAAAATCGTTTGTTATTATAATTTTTTTATTCTTTATTATTATTATTATTTTGTTTTATTTTGTTTTTTGTCGACATTTAACTTTTTAGTAATTGACTTTTAATTTGACGGGCATTTTCCCAGTCCTCCATTGCGGAAGTGGCGCTGTAACTGTTTTTGTTTACAGACTGGATATGATCCACGTGTAGTGTTTAAATGAATTAATGACGTTGAGAGTTTAGATTGGATTATTCGAAATTATTTCTTACTTCGATATTAAGTCTGCACTAAAAACTCAATAGCAGTCCGTTATGAGGAGCAGTTCGTCCGTGTCTCTGGCGGGCAGTCGTGGTTCGGCCTCGGTTCGGCTGGTCAGCCCACCCGCGTGTCCGTTTGCCTTTCCGGTGGACGCTGCCGTTGAATATTTAATGGTAAAGAAAGACTTTCAGGCTGCTCTGGACACATGCGAGAAAGGGCTTGAGAGTTTGGGCTCTTCTGCAGAACAGGAGGAAAACTGGTGAGCAGTGCTGGGTAGATGACGGTCCTTACAAATTATAGATGGTTACTGATTCCAAAATGAACGTTACATATCAAAAATTGTAGTTTGTAACGTAATAATGCATTATTTTACAACCACTTTTAGATTCATTTTGAATAGAAGCTTGTAGCCTACCATATTGTTTTAAAAATACAAAGAGAAAGAAAATATATTCCATTCTTTCTTTATCAACAAAATGAAGTGCATTAAATATTACATTCTTTCAAGGTTCCCCAGACTGGGTTCATGATGGAACTGGAGGGGGCAAAATAAAACACCTTCAAACACTTGCTTTTTTGGTTTACCTGTTTGTCATGAGACCATTAACCGATATCAGAGAACCGTGAATTTGATTTTATTATTGACCTAACTTATTAATTTAAAATATCAGGGAGTAAGTAAATATATTAGGTTAGCTTAATAAGAGATTCAGCTGACAAAAAAGTTCGGGAATCCCTGCATTTCATGTATGAAATGTGAATTTGTGGGGTTTTATTATGTGTTTGAAAGACAAAAGACAGTAATACATGGTTAAATTACTCACTGAGTGATTATTCAAATAATAATAATGTGTTTGTCAGGAGTTGATTAGATACTAATGTTTTAAAGCGTAATATCTAATTACAAGTACTTAATTTTTGGAATCTGATTACATACCCAGCACTGCTGGTGAGTTAAACTGACTGTTAACAGCTTTTAACACTATGATGATTCATTAATTTACCATCTTTAATCTCATACTAAATGTTTGTCCCCACAGCTTCAAGTATGCAGAACTGAAAGCAGCTTTGACAATAGTGGGGATTCAAGCACTGGCTGAGCTCAATCACTGGCGTGGAGTTCTGTCATGGGTTTTGCAGCAGTATGGAGAAACAGAGAAAATTCCTGCCAAGATTATTCAAATGTGGTAAGAAGATTCTGCCATTTAATCTCACAAATAACATTAAATAGCAGTTTGAATGTGGGTGAAGTACCACTAGATAACACCTAATGTAGATTAACTGTGTTTCACAGCATTCTACTCTATGTGAAAGTGGGTGAACAGGCTGTAATGAAGGATGCGGTCTGTGATTGGCTCCACTGCTCTGGTAACATGACCCAATCAGGCTTCAGCACTGTGGCTGAGCTGTATTTTCTCCACATACTGGTTCCGATGGGTCACACAACTGAAGCTCTGGAAATGCTGGAGAGCAATGTGGGTCGGGTGGCATTCAGTGATGAACAGATACAAGCAGTCTGTAGTTTAGTAGACATTCAGAATGAGAAAAATGCAGCATCGTCCAATTCAAATCCTGAATCTGTAGCAGTGGTGGCAACGACTAGTGCTTCAGAACAAGGTGACTTTCTTTTATTTATTTATTTATTTATTTATTTATAGTCAAAATGCTATATATCTAACAAATTCTGTGCAGTATATTTAGATTCAAAGTATAAAATGGATTTTTTATTGTAGAATATTTTTGCAAATAATGGATTCAACGATGTGTTATTGACAGAGAGATCAAACCAGCGTCTGAAATCTATAATGAGGCTGTTATACAGAGGGCTCTCAGTAGCCAGTGTGAGAATTAGATCCATCTCTCTGCACAGAGTTTTTCTGGCTTTAATGTTGCTGTATCTTCTTCTCGTCCGTATAGACCCTGGTAAGAGGCCTCTCTTTATGCAGTGCATTCTTAATAATTACTCTGATAATGACCGACTATAGCCTGTCCTGAAATAATGCTCTGCTCTCAGCTCTTCCCTCAGCTTTCCCATGGTTGCTCCGGCTCCATAGACTCCTTCAGCAGACGTGGAACACCATGTTTGGACCTTATTACAGAGCCAACAACAGAAGTTAGAGTTACTGGAGTTGAACTGTGAGAAAATGTTGCCATCCAAAATTGTAGATCCTGTGTTTGCTCAATTTGTTGGTGAATATAGTTATTTTATAAATAAATCAATGAATTATATTTAAAGATAGTGCTGATAGCCTTTAGAGAAATATTTAATGCAGATCACATGTAATTTAATTGTATAATAAAATGTATATGTGAATATATGAGTTCCTGTGCATCTGTACTTGTTCGTGCAACTTTAGTGAATATATATATATATATATAGTCACGGTTAAGGATTAAGAAACTGTTAATTAAAAGTTTATTATTATGTATTTTCAATGTTTTTTTTATTAAATTAAGAATTAGAGGTTTATGTACATTTAAAATATAGCCTATATCTAAAAATGTGTATTAGAATTTCCTGATATTTCTATTGATTTAAAAAATGTAGGCCTAATGGTGATTAATGTTTGTTAATAATAATAAAAATAAAAGTTGGGTAACACTTTACCATGAGGTTCCTTTTGTTAACTTTAGTCAAGCTTCTTCATTTATTGCACTTTTTACAATCTAGATAGTTCCAAAGCGGCTTTACAGTGATAACAGGAAATTAAAGTAGCCTAACAGAGATTGTTTTGGCTTTATGGCAGCTCTAGAATAAAGTTATTTTCCAGCTAAAGTTAGTTTTGATTGATTCACTTCCCGTTTTAACAGAAAACTCTTAAGTTCTCTCTACCCAAACTTTAAAAACGCGAACCGAACCTGTGAGAGTTAGTTAACTATTGACATGATCTAGCAATGAAAATAATTCTAAAGCATTTATTTGTCTTGGTTAAATAGAAATGTAAACATTTCTAATATATTAAAATCAAAATTTGCGTGTCAAGATTGTTTAAAAATTATTCAATGAGCTGACATGAAATAACAATTGTATTTATATGAACTAGCGTGAACTAAATGATTAAATACTGTCACGTATGTAGCCTAGTTCGTTATTTATTTTAGTTAACTAACATTAATAAGACCTTATTGTAAACTGTGTTAACAAAAGTTGTTTTAAAATGTTGCCTAATGTATTCTAAACTGCGTGTTAGTTTCGTACCGTGACTGACAGAAACTGACGCGTGAATTGAAAGTGAAAGTAAAATCAGCCGTTTATGTCTGAAACTCAACTGACTGTTATGCTTCGAGTAAACCGGGAGCTGAAGTGTCTTGAGGAAGGTAAATATTGCCTAAGCTTAGTTCAGTTTTCTATAAACCAATGTGCAGTTTAACGCTAACTGTGTCCACCTCTGAGAAGCTGTCATACTGTAGCCTATAGGTCTGTGAATGGGAGAGTTCTGGAGTAAAATGTCTCGTCCACGATTCAGCCGCTTCATATTATACAGCTATCCCAGGGATTATGGTAAGTCAGCAGAGCTAATAGCAAACTCGCACTAAACCACACTCAAAAGAGATTTGGAATTTAATTAGCTTTTTCATTACATATGGCAAACTAAGGGTTCACACAGAACGCGTTTTGCTGTTAAAAACCCATATAGGATTTTGTTTTAAAGGGATAGTTCACACAAACATTAAAATCTGTCATAATTGATTTACCCAGATGTTCCAAACCTGTATGAATTTCTTTCTTCTGCTGAACACTGCAGTAATCAAACAGTTGGGCCTCATTGACATCCATTGTATTTTTTTCCTTACTAAAAGTCAAGGCCCATTCTTCAAAATCTCTTCTTTTGTGTTCAGCAGAAGAAAGAAATTCATACAGGTTTGGAAAATCTTGAGGGTGAATAAATGATGAGTTTTCATTTGTGAACTAACCCTTTAAGTGTTCTGAGAACTACTGTAATTCAGTCTCATGAACCATTTTTTTTAAGTACACTGCAGAAACTAATGCTGGAACTAACAAAATGATCTTAAATATGATTTGATGTTTCAGAAGTGAGAGGCCTTTTCAACTACAGTCTGTCCTGTTGTGTTAATTCTCTGCTTCAGTCCTTCTCTGCCACCACTGAACTACTGGACATACTGAACAAGTAAAGCTCCATTATCTATTGAATATGCTTGCACACTTGAAAACTAGCCATACTAAGACATGCTAAATCATTTTTAAAAATGCCTGTCATTTAAAGATGGTGTCCATCTGAGGAGATTGAACAGACTAACATCCCACAGCGGTTAAAGAATGCCTTGCTAGCCATGAGGGATAAATCACATCCTGCTCCGCACAGAGACTTCCTGGACAGCCTCTACTGTCACGCCATCCGCCGTATGCATCATATCACCCTAAAATTGTACTTATGAAAATAGTGCCATTCTGAGTGTATTCTGTTTTGTGCTGTAGGAGGCACTCAACAGGATGCGGATGAAATATTCCACATTATCCTCAATCTCATCCAGAAACAGATCTCCGATCTTGACTTGGTGGGTTTGCATTAAAAATAGATGTGTACAAATTTTGTTTAGTGTGAACTGTGTAAATGAGAATATTCAATATGTTAATGTCTTCATCCTTTCAGGCTCAGGAAATCCGCAGTCTCTATGAGATAAAGGTGGAGACACAGGTGCAATGTTCACAATGCTCATTCATTCAACGAGAGCCCAACTCTCTTTTCAGCCTTCCTTTGGCAATCAGTGAAAGGGGGAACACCCTGGTAAACAAGTTAAACATTCATCAATTATGTTTTGACAGTACATCAGTAATAAAATTGTATTGTTCTTGTGTTCTTCAGGAGAGCTGCATAAACTCTTTTTTCCAGCCTCAAAAACTGGTGAATGGTGAGGAGCATCACTGTAACCGGTGTGAACAGAAGCAGCCGTCCACTTATGTGTGTGCTTTTAGGTTTTTTCTTGTCATTATCAAACTATATAATATTTCGTAATGTAGGCCTACGTTTTTTACAGTTTAGAACTTTTTTATGTCAGCAGGTAACCGAAGTTGCAATAGTCTTTTCTTCTCTATTCTGACACACAGTATATTTAAGTGAAAGGTAATTTTGTCCACTAATTGTTTGGATGGTTGCGGTTTGCTATTGGTCAATCTCATGTGATTGACAGGTTGTCACGCCATTAAACACATCATCAGAGAAGAGTAGAGATGCAAGAGGGAGATGAAGTTATTCTGATTAAAGATTATGAATGCACATGAATTAAAAAAAATAATGATGTGCACAGATCATTAATCATTTACAATAAATTGTGCAATATTCCATAATAACATAAGAAATGTACATTTCCTGCTTATTTTATGCTGTAAGATGGGAAAGATTTTAGGTTTCACTTTTATTTTACAGTGCGTGCACTTACATGTACTTACAGTGTTTACCTAAGAAAGTACTGGGTATTACATGGGTTAAGGTTATGTTTGGTTCAGGGTTAGTACCTAGTTATTGCAATTACTATAATAAGTACATATGAACGATAAAGTGCTACCAGATTTTAACTTAATGTCAGCACACGAAACAATGCATGACTCTGGAGTTAATTGTTTGATTTTCTGTTTTGTTTTTTTGTCATGTAGGGACTGAAACTCGTCTCATTGCCTCTGATCCTGTGTGTCCACTTGAAAAGATTCAGAAACGATTGTGGCTTCACCAGGAAACTCTACAGCAAAGTCATTTTCCCTGATAATCTTAACACAGGCATTTTTGCTGTAGGACAATCAGAAAATGCATGTGTAGTATATATTTTGTAAAGAATAATAGTCATAATAATAATTTATATATGCTTAAATTGTTGTATCTTTGTTTTAGGTTGCGAATGATTCTCACAGGGCTGATGAGCATTACAGTCTCTATGCAGTAATAGTTCATATAGGATCTGCTATGTTTGGTCACTACACTGCTTACATCAGGCCAGCTCAGGAGGACCAGACGTGGTACTATGCTGATGACAGTTGCGTGCGACCAGTAAGAGATAGAGACCGACTAGAAACAGAAGGATATGAACTAGATTGTATTGATATTTATTTCGGTGTAGTAATTATTTTCATTCATTTGTCTCAGGCCAAATGGGCAGACGTGCGGGACACATATGAAGGGTAATTCTTGACCTATAGCCTACTGGTCATCTTGTCACAGATACTTTAAAAGAGAACAACACAAACACAGATCCGCTAAATAATTATTACTTTATTCATTTTGCAACATCTTCCAGTTTTTGATTATAATTTTGTATACCATTCTAGAGGCAACACGGCCTACTTGCTTCTGTACAGGAAGAAGAGCTGCAATTCATCTGGATAACTGTTGGGAACTGCAGTCAATAACTGGACACTATATGGTTTAATGCAGAGGAATATTCCAAGAATAGGACCAAAGTCTATTTATATTTTGTCTATAAGTATGAAGAGAGGTGTGTGAGAATGTAAATCAGTATATTTTCATGTTGATTGGGGTTTATGTAGGGCAGTATTTTGGATTGGATTAATATATTTTGGAAGTGATTATATTGTGGTGTTTATGGATGTTGTTCAATAAAAATGTTTAAAAATAATGTTGCCTGTGATCTCTAATTATTGCTGAAGATGTAAAAATATGGAATGAAAAATGAAAAAATTCGGGTAAAAAAACACATTTCTGGGGTAAATGACTTTTATTTTGAAAAATGGGACCTGGCTTTTATTTTGAGAAGCAGCCATCGCGCTTCCAGAGTCCAGACATGGTCCAGACTTATAGAGGGAATGCATTAACGTCACTTCCCCGCCGGAACACGCCCCCCTCAGCGGGACTGAGTGGCAGAAGAGCTGCTGCGTGACTGGAGTTAATAGGGGAAACTGCGTTAACGCGAGTAAAACAAACTATTATCAGTTTAAACTAAAAGTTGGACTCGATATAGTGTTCCTTACAACTTATCAAAGATCCAGTGATCCATGGATATTGACATGCAGCCAGGAATCGTGTTTCCTGACATTTATATGTGTCTGATTTCGACGCCGGGGAAATAAATGAAGACAATTTGCCTGTAAACGTTTTATATAAATACAATATAGATAGGTCTAAATCCGAGTGATCACTTACATTAATGTTATACTGTATATCATCATATCGTCCAGCCCTAAAACTTGTATAGTTTTTTGTCAGTGTTTATTTAAAAACATCCAATTATGCAGAATATAGTCTGTTCTGTAGCTTTTTGCAGTCTGTAAAAATATACAGTACCTCAGATTTCTGGTCAAATCTAGTTGTACAGTCAATCGCAAAGCTCTTTCCCGTTTTAGATGTGTTTTGTGTGATTTTCACGGCGTTCACGCTGAAAACAAATGCTGCCGCTCAGTCTTTTTGCCACTTGTGGGCGTGACCGCATTCACTCCGGCCGACGGTGACGTCATGCGCATACCCTCTATTTTGAAAAGTATCCATGTCATGGCATTTCCCCCGCACGTCCTGACAAACACCTCTGCCATGATCTTGTAGGTGAGCAAACACTGTAATAAAGCAGCCTATTTCTTACAGAAAAACTTACCCAACTGAACATTATGTTTTCCCCTCAGTACGTCGGCATTTAGTACCATATTATTAACGTATAACCGTAAAATATATAAATGCAGACTGCAAGGGGATTTTCAGTCCACATTCTTGTGTGTTGTTGCATGCTATTGGATATAATATATTGTGGTGTATTATTGTTTGTTCTTTGTCTGGTATTCTCAGGATCAAGAGAAAGAAGTTAAAATGACTAATCCACTGAGAGGAGAGGTGGTCAGATTGTACAAAAATGTAAGTATCATCTTCTGACAGTTTCCTTCTGCTTTCTTGTTACATCTGATCTTTTAATATGAAATATTGTTTAATGGTACTTAATGTCATCTTTATTAGACACAACATTGCATGGCAGCAGAGTCACAAAATAAACACAGAAGATGTGTAAAATTGTAATAATGATCACCCATATTGCTTTGGTTATTAATTTATTTTCTGCAGCTTTTGTATCTTGGACGGGAATATCCAAAAGGCACCACATACTTCAGGGAGCGTCTGAAAGCCGCTTTCATGAAGAACAAAGACGTCACCGATCCTGAGAAAATCCAAAAGCTGATTGACCGTGGAGAATTTGTGATCAAAGAACTCGAGGCACTTTACTTCCTCAGGAAATACAGAGCTATGAAGAAACGCTATTACGAACCAGAGCATTAGTCGATGTTTTCTGTCACAAGTGCCAGACTATATGTGTCTCAAAAGTTTTTGAAAATCTGTATGATGTGTTGCACTATAACAGATTTGGACATAAACGTTTCTTTTTTACAATTACTACATCTTTATTACATTTAGCTGTTAATTGTAATGAAAGTGACATGTTTCTGGGTATGTATGTATGTTTATTTAAAAATCAATGGGTATATATGTATGTTTATTTAAAGACCTTTCAGTTTAATGGTGTTTTAAGGACGTGTTTGAGTAGATAACTCTACATCGCAGAAAGCGAGGTTGGTTTTTCCAAAAGATTTCTCCAGCTCCCGCACCAGGTCAAGCTTACCCGAACTGCCGGAAACCTTTTAGTGCAAATAATTAAAAATGGAAAAAGTTATGGTAATAATGTGAGTATATATGTCAATTTATGTATATATAGACACACCCAATAAAATGTATACTCACTTTTTCTTTAAATACATTGTAGGCTTTGTAGCAGGTGAGGTCCTCTTTTGATAGCATGAGTCCAGGCTGCAGTTTCGTCTGTCTGCCCCCTTGGAGACACACATTTAGAAAACATCAGTTACCCTGAACAATGACAGCATTTTGCAGAGTGCTTCACATGTCGGAATGTCTCATACCCGAAAGTATGCTGATTATAAGCCCTACAGCGATGACCGTCACAGTCCCCAATGGGCCGAAGTACAGGTATGAGAGCGAGTACCAATTATCACCCAGGAAAGGCCTGTTAAGAAATGGATCTCGTTACATATCAGCCAATAGATTTTGACTCGAATGATTTGCACAACCCACCTTTGTAGATTCTTCTCTTTCAGTATGAAGTCGTCCATGTTTGCAGTCCAGTTAGTGCCCTCTGGTGCCATTGAGAAGTTACAGCCGTGTGTCATCAGAGGCAACGGTCTGCTGTTCTCTGGTTGCGGTGGGTATATCTGTGCTCCAATGCACACCCACAGTGACAGCGCCAAACCAGACAACAGCCCTGCCAAACCTCCCTAAAACAGACACACTTTCCATTGTAATGACCACTGTATTTTTGCATTTTATAAAGAAAAATGCCCTTTTTCAGGGTTTCTTTAGGTCTTTCAAAGGTATTTAGTCTAAATTAATCCTTACACAAATTAAGGTCTTAAAAAATCTTTTAATAAAAACTAAATTCATCCTTACACAAATTAAGGTCTTAAAAAATCTTTAAAAAAAAAAAAGGTTTTAGGCCTTAGTTCAGGACATTTAAGTGGCTTTTTATAATTATTGCCTTGAAAAAAACATTACTGGTGTGCATCTTGTGACAAAACAAGTGCAAATTGCTTTCGGTTAAAACAGCTCAAACATGCATTTTAGTCTGGGACTAGCTTTAAGCTTTGTCTATTAAACCAGGGAAATGTTCTTTACTTGGTCTTAAAGAAGTCTCAAAAAGTCTCAAATTTACCTTCATAAAACCTGCAGAAACCCTGTTTTTTCCCTATCACATATTTTAATAATCGCCATTAATTAGTATCATTCAAATGCTTAAACATTCGGACATTGCTTTACCATGGAAATTATAGCTTTAAACTTCTTAGCGTGCTCAACATTTGTGATATCAACTTCAAATTTGAAACGCAACTTGGTTAGACGTATAGCTTGGATTTTCTAGCAATTTTAGAGTCAAATAATTTAGTAAAACATTTACATTTTAAAATAAAAATGTTTCAGTACATTTGCTACAGTAAACGAAACTTCTATAACTTTTTTTTTTTCACATTGAAAAAATCTGCTGAGGGTCTTCTTTGAAAAGAGAACAACCTAGGTCTGTATTTCAAAACCTCATAAATTACAACCAAGCCAAGTTCAGATCTACGTTCAAAAAAGAAGGGTGACGTTTATCGGGTTAAAATCTAGCCGCCATAACCTTTGTGTTGGCGCATGAAAACAGGACGCCGAGAGAGAAGAGGCCCAGTAGAGGTCCGCCAATCACACCTACAATACTAATAGCGGCCTGTTGAGGGACAAACAGACAGGAAAATTAGGGTTATGCCATCATTTGCCCTGTCATTTTCACATATAATTCTTCAGTAACCCACCTGTAGCATCCCTCCCATCAAAGATGCAAGACCAGCCATTCCAATGCACACGGCACCATAAAACACACCTGTGATTAGGAAACATCTTCTAGTTTAGTAGTTGGAATAACTGATTATTTGTTATTGAATTCTAAATGAAGACATTTGCTCACTCATGCCCTTTGAAGCCCAGTATAGCTGTCTCTCTGACAGACTGAGGTACGGACGCATCAGATCTGTAATAGTTACCGCAGCCAAAGCATTTACACTGGAGGAGACTGTACTGTAGAGAATAAATATAATACATGCTCAAGAAATGCTAATGTGAAGCATTTGGTATGGGCGTTGAAAGCAATTATCACTTAACTCACCCACATGCCTTTCATTCTTGCATTTAAACTTGTATCATATTGGTTGTGAGGGAGCTCATAATGTCGCATGGTACAAGTTTACGCTCTGATATAGAGAGGACTTCTTTAGGTAACACTTTACAGTGAGGTCTCATTTGTTAACATTAGTCAATGCACTGTAAAACAAAGACTGTGTGCATTAGCTAACATAAACTAACAATGGGCATGTTTTAAAAAAAAAAAAGTTTTATTGCTTTTTCATGTAAGGTCACAGTGTATTAATTAATGTTAACAGATATAACTTTAAAAAAAAACATTAGTAAATGTTAAAATTAACCTTAACCAATATTTATAAATGCTATAGAAATATTCGTTGCAGGTTCATGTTAACTATTTTACTCAAATGATGAGTGTTTTCATTATGATTTTATATTTAATTTTCATTATGTTCCTTCACAACAAAACTATTGTAACATTTTAGAAGAATATCATGAGTGATAGTTTCATTATATCGCAAAGAGCTGCTTGAACATTCTGCTAAATGTCTTCTTTTGTTTTCTACAGAAGGATGTGGGTCTCGAACGAACGACATGGGGGTAAGTAATTAATGATGAAAGTACTTTTTTTAGGTGATCTGTAGAGAACAAACCTTAAAGTGCCACTATATACTGCTGCCACGAACAGTCCTGGCAGACCAGGGTATTCACTCAGGATGTCCAACACCAGGTATGGCATAAGCTTATTGTATATTTAAGAGAGATACATTGATGTTGCATATTGATTGGTAATAGCATCAATACATGCACAGGTTATAATGTTGTTATTTGAGATGCATGTGGTTTGTGGTGTACCTGGTCTTGTGCAGACACCTTATTTGCTGTCCATGGATCACAGTTCTTATAAACGGAGTATAAACACAAGCCACAAAATACTGAGCATAATGAAATAGCCCAGAGAGCCACTAAATTAATGTATAAGGCCCTGGATAACGACAAAAAAACACATACACAAACACACAAAAAGGTTCAGTTACACATTGGATCTCTTTCAGTTTGAATTCAAGAATTATTTTTCGTGCAATGCTCACATTTTGGCATGGAACAGGGACTTGCATGATATGTATCTCTGTACTTGAGCTTGATTGATGCCATAGACGCTGGTCCAGAGGAACGTCCCTCCTATTGTGATGCTCCAGAATGTGTGTCTCCTCAGAGGGTTTGGATCGAAGCTGAAAGGGGTTGGACACGAGTCACGACATGAGAAAGTGTTTAATTATGCATTCCTGTACCTGTAAGTCATGTCACAACTTACTCCCATAGGTTAAGCCGGCCGCCCTGAGCGGAGTCACTGATGATAGTGGAGATCCCGCCCTGCAGAAGCACTGATTGGACGATGACAGCCAAAAGACCAGCCAATAGGATGCCAACCTGGAACACGTCCGTCCACACCACCGCCTTCAGACCGCCCTGCCAAGGTAAAGAGACAGTATCAGTGCAATTCAGCCTTTTTCACTCCAAGGCCCCCAGTTGTCCACAACAATATTTGAAGGCTCTGTGACTTTTCCAGTTGTTTTTGTTAAGGATTATGGATATTAAAAAAAATTGTCTATATTATCAATGAAAATAGAGTAAAATACCTTTTGAAAGTAACTTGATGCTTCAAATAAAGATTGTATCAAACATCGTTGCACCAGTAGGTGACTGTTAAAATTGAATCATTAATGCAAGAGATTCGTTCAAAAATGCTGATTAATCCAGGAATGAAACAATGGAAATCTTTATGAGTGAGTCATTGAATCATTAATTTAAACCGTTTAAAAAATACTATTAATAATTTTAAACAAAACCAAAAATTGTGATTCTCAGTTGATTTAGAATCGTACAGTTCTCTTTCACTAACTTACTAATGTACAGTAGAGAGTGCAGACGACCCCAGTCGACATGACGGCACCCCAGAGATCCACACCAGTGACTGAGACAAGAGAGAGAGGAGAGAGTTCACTTGACCATAGAGTGCTCCTGCACATTATCAAGCATACTTGTTACACCATGCACTCCACAAATAATGCAGTTCGACTTTACACTGTTAAAAGATAAAGGTTCTTTATTGGCATCTACAATTCCATGAATAATTTCCATTGCACAAAAGGTTTATAGTGAAAAAGGTTCTTTAGATTATCAAAATGTTGTTTATATTAAGAAATTATGTTTTTAAAAGAACCCAAAATGGTTCTTCTGTGGCATCTCTTGGTAATTGTTGAAGTGCAAAAAATCCTACCTTGGTTTAAAGCCAATGCTGGAGCATAAATAACCAGACCAGTGTAAAGTACCTGAGAAGAGATGGAAAATACTCTAACTACATTGTTTACTGTATGATTTAGTGAGACTGATAATAGCAAGAAAAACACTCACTGTCTGAATGATAAACAGGACTGTCCCAAAAAGTCGAATTACTTTATTGTAACGCATCTCCAGATACTGCAAACAGAGGGGGAAATTAAGTTACATTGCGGTTGCTTTTTCATCTGAATGAATGGATTATTGACACATTTTAACATCATTAATTTGTTTGATCTTTCTATATTAAATAAAGTTACTATTTTAGATCAGCAACTGTATTAGTTTAGTTTTTGTTTCAGCTTTAATATTATTTTGAATTAGCTTTTATTTGTATATTTTATTTGTACATTGTCCTTGTTCTTTATCTTGTGTATTGTTCAGCACATTGGTCAGCCCTGTTTGCTGTTTTTAAATGTGCTATATAAATAAATACAAACTTGAAACTTGAAACTTGATTTTTAGTTTTCATGTTAATTTTAGTGGAATTTTTAGTCATTCCATTTTGTTATTAGGTTTAATTAGGTTCAAATTGATTTTTGTTTTAGTTATGGTTATGATTTATTTCCAGTTCATAATTTTAGTGCTTAACCTTAACCTTTTTTCAGTGCAACATTTAATTTTTATTATATTTCAGCTTTATTTCAATTAACAGAAATGTTTTTGTTAGTTAATGATAATAACCCTGATCATTAATGTTTTATCTTTAATATATTCAATAAAGTTACCATTTTCAAACAGCAATATTGTTATTATAATTTTCATTGTAGTTTTATTAATTTAATTAGCATTTATTGCTATATTTTTTGTTTTTGTGTTAATTTTAGTTTAATTTTTAGCAATTGTGCTTTTGTTATTTAAAAAAAATTTTCTCACATTTCTAATTTTCATTTAGTTTAGTTTTTTTTAGGGTTTTTTTTTTACCGAAAAGTTTTAGTTAACGAAAATAACCCTGAATTCAGCAATAAAAGGTGTTTATGCCAAATTTTCCTTCCAGTTCAGTTTTCTCTCATCTCACCTCATAGGTGCTGGTTATACCCAGTCTGTAGAAGATTGGCAGGAAGATCTCAGAACTAACAGCCACCATCAGAACATAAGAAAAGCAGATGAGGATGAAGATGGCTCCGTACTGATACACCTCTACTGGGGTCCCCAGAACGGTGATGGCTGACATGAAGCTGGCCGTCAGGGACAGGGCCACTGGTACCGCCGTCATACTCCGTCCGCCCACCAGAAAGTCTGCGGAACTGCTCTGACCTCCTCCGACGAAGGCGTAATACACCCCGATGCCTGCTGAGACGACCAGCATTAAGGTGAAGACCACATAGTCCCACACACTAAAGGAGGGTCCACTGGACATCTTGGTGGACGTCTGAGTTTCTTTAACAGGATCTCTTGATCTCTTGAGTTTTGAGAGTCTGAGGAGCCTCTTTGCAGTGCGGTCAGTCAGAGAGAGTGTGATTGTTCCTGGAGCTGCATGCTTGTCATCATCCCACCCGTATCATATTCATTCCTCCTTACAGCATTTGGGCTGGAATGATTTTTTTTTCTCAGTAATTAGATAATGTGTTTATTCATGTGTGTGAGACACAGAAAGAGAATTCACTCCCTATTTATTACAAAGCCAGCCTAATGTTATTTTTGGTATTTTGGTATTTTTTATATTTTTATCTCATAATTTCATATCTCATAATATATTTCTGTATTATTATACATCATTCTACTGAAAACCCTTGGTAGACCAGTGTTATTTTAGTAGGCCTATTAGTGAGATAATATCGTTTTTATTGATATTTTGAATTCGATTTTATGTTTATATTTTCCATTTTCATTTTAATTTCAGTTTAAGTTTAAAAAATGTTGTTGTGTTTTTGTCAATTTTTAATAGTTTTTATTAATTTGTATTTCAGGTTTAGTTTTATTTGTATTTTTTTTGTACATCAAGGTAAACTAAATAAAACAGGAAATGTTGCCTTGGCAAGTAGATGAAATAAAATAAGTTTTTTAAATATTTTATTTTATTTTAGTTCGTTTATATTATTTCAAGCAACGAATTTTTTATTTATTTTTTATGGTTTTAGTTTCAGTTGTAATAATAACATAATTGCCCTGGTATAATATAAGAAAAAAATTTTTTTTTTTTGGAAATAATAAATAAATAGAAAACCTAAACAAGGCATGATCTTTCCTAATGTACTTCTAAACGTAGTAAGACTTTTCTTTTGAAATACAGTAAAAGTCCAGTTTTTACCCATAATGCATCATTCAAGATGGCGATTCCCTGATACGGCATGTGTATCAACAATTTCACAGCAATTGATAACGCATCTTGTTTTTTAAACCACGGAATACTCTTAATTTTTGTATTTGGTCGAGAGACAATACAGCAAAATGAAGCTCAAAGCAAAGCCCACATCTCATAAATCAGAAAACACTTTTCGCGTAAGTTTATTGAACAACGCATGCTGGAGACTCCTGCTCATGCGTCTGGCAAACATGAAAATGTTTTATTTCATAAACATATCGAAACGAATTTTACATATTGAATTGGGTCGATATAAGTCTTTGCTTTTAATCATTACCTTGTCATCTATAAAGTCCAATATAGCTCGAGTGTAATGCGAGGAAGTTTTCATTCAGTTAAGATATCTCCATATCTTTTCTTTTCCAGTTTGCCACGTTTTCTGAAAGGCTCGCAAAAGTAAACATTGATGTCATTCATCGCATTGACAGGACTGGAAGTTATGATGAGGTATGAGTCTTGTTTATATCAGATAACATAACTTATGGTTAGCAACATTATAGTATTTAAAGTGTTTTTGATTAATTCTGCTGCTTATTTTCTCAGGAGGTAGAAACTTATTTTTATGAAGCCCTAATAAAATGGAAAGACTTGAATTTGACAGAACACTTCAGTAAGTAACCACGTCCTGTGACCTTATAATATGACAAAATACACTGTATATTATGATGATATTGTACATACTGTTAATTTAATGGATGATCTGTACATCCTGTACTGTCATGTATATGGTGTAGTGACATTGAAGTATTTTGCTTTGAGTATTAAACTAATCGTCTGTTCTACAGTCATGTTTTTTCGAGAGGTGTCAAGCAAGAGTCAGTCTTTCAATATGCTGGTGTTTCACCAAAATGTCATTGTGGAGAGTCTGAAGACCCACCTGTCAGTGAAGAACAACATGGCTTACCAGCCTCTTCTGGAGTAAGTTTCTCTCAGTCTTTCTTTAAAATAAACAGACCAACAAAGCCATGTTAACCCCACACTTGCTTTCAGTCTTGTAATTCAACTGGCTCGGGACCTCCAGATGGACTTTTACCCCCACTTCTCTGATTTCTTCATCATCATCACGTCTATACTGGACACACAAGACCCTGAAGTGTTGGAATGGGCCTTCACGTGTCTGTCGTACCTGTTCAAATACCTGTGGAGGTTGATGGTGAAGGATATGGACAAGATATACAGGTGAGTAGTAGATTATTCTGTGTCAGACTTTTTGATCTCAGTTGGATGTTTGGATTCTCAGTCATAGTGTATAGATTTATAATGTGTAATTAGTAACACTTTACAATAAGGTGTCATTTGTTAAAATTAGTTAACCCAGGGGTTCTTAACCCTGGCCCTCGAGGTCCCCTGTCCTGCAGTGTTTAGCTCCAACCTAGAGCAAACACACTTGAACATGCTAATCAAGGTCTTCAGGATTACTAGAAACCTACAGGCAAGTGAGTTTGATCAAGGTTGGAGGAAAGTGGAGGAAAGGTCTGAGACTCAGGGTTCCACTGATTTTTGTATATTGTGACAGAAATGTCAGAATGCATTAAAATTCAATGGAGTGTAGGTGTCACCCGGTGGCTATTTTTGGTATAGCGCTTAAACAAAATCTCACTGGAACTTCAATATTTGTGAAATCAACTCCAAATTTGGAACACAATTTAGTTAGACATATGGCTTTGATTTTCTAGCAATTTAAGAGTCCAAATTATTTTGTGAAATATTTCTGTTAAAGGAACACTCCGACTTTTTGGGACTTTAGCCTATTCACCTTATCCCCCAGAGTTAGATAAGTCCATACATACCTTTTTCATCTCCGTGCGTGCTATAAGTCTGTTTGACGCACCCGCCGCTAGCCTAGCTTAGCACAAAGACTGGATGTAAATGGTTGCAGCTAGCATACTAATCCAAATAAGTGACAAAATAAGGCAAACATTTTCCTATTTACATGTTGTGATTTGTATAGTCACAGAGTGTACAAAAAACTACGTCACATGAGACACAGACATATTTTAACCGTATAAATACTGGGAACTATATTCTCTGAAGGCGAAGCACTGCTACTTGGGTGGAGTGATAACCGCAGCACCTGAGACGTACCGTACCCAAACTCTGAACGAACTCTCTGCTCCTCCTCACCACGGCGCGTCTCAGGTGCTGCGGTTATTACTCCGCCCAAGTAGCAGTGCTTCGCCTTCAGAGAATATAGTTCCCAGTATTTATACGGTTAAAATATGTCTGTGTCTCATGTGACTTTGTTTTTTGTACACTCTGTGACTATACAAATCACAACATGTCAAAACACAACATTTGCTTTGCAGTAAACACATTTTTTTACACATTCATTCAAGTTCTTTCACTTCAGCAATAATTTGCAGTTCTTTAAAAAGAGACCAACTTTAGGTCTGTATTCCAAAGGATTTATGAATTACAACTATTTAAGAT